TTCCATATTTCTTGCATTTTCTGTTATACAGGCCTTGGCCGAGGCATTCTTGGATCATCTTTGGAAAATCTTGCAGAGCCCGTCTCAGCCTGCTGTCCTCCGCCAGGCTGCTGTTGGATACATGGGGAGCTTCTTGGCTCGAGCCAAGTTTATTCCTGTGCTGTAAGTGTTGTTTTTAATTTTCCTGCCCACTGGCCAGATCATAACTAAATTGCTGGTTTTAATTTAATTAACTCTGCAGGATAGATCATTTTGAATATTGTATTTACAGACTGCAAGTGTCAAATCATACTTATTCTGACCACAGAGCCAAAATAGTACTTTTTTTGGGACCATGTTTGTCATGCTGTTACTCCAATTCACTGTTCTTCTCCCTCCTTCAGAACTGTGAAGGCATGTCTGGACCTGCTACTCTCCTGGATCCATCAATACATTGACAGCCAGGACAGCAATGGAAAACAGGCCTGCTGTGATATTGGTCTGCATGGGCCCTTCTACACCGCCTGTCAGGCCGTCTTCTATACACTCATCTTTAGACATAGAGCCATTCTGGAGGGAAACATGAAGAAAGGTAAGAAGCTCTGAACAGTACTAACATACACTTATCCCAGCATCACATGCTATTAAAACATTACTCTGTAGAGAGTGGATATGTTTGAATCTTGAATTTTGTGTATACTATTTTCGATATTGTTCCTTTGTTGCTGTTTCCAAATTTCTAAATGTGTATCCAAAACATCTGATGACATGACAGCTGTAATAATAGCATTATAACAATTATAAGCTACTAGAGGCATACTGTCTTTCTTCTGGGTTTGTCAGGTCTGGAGTACTTGCAGAGTCTGAATCTGGAGCGGGTGGTGATGTGTCAGCTGAACCCACTCAAAGTCTGCCTGCCTTCAGTTACTAGCATGTTTGCAGCCATCACAAGGTACACCCCCTGTCTCAAATTTCTTTAGTTCAGTTCAATTATTTAACTCTGTTGTTGAGACATGCTACACACACCTAGGCAGAAATACACACACATGCACAAACATGATACTATGGACATGCACTGATGGAGAGATGTCTGAGTGAAGGGATGCACGCATGAAAGAGTGCCTGAGCAGTTGGGGGTGTTCTGTGCCTTACTCAAGGGCACTTTGGGCTGAGTCCATTTTCAGCAACCCTTTTGGTTTCCACCCCAAGTCCCTACACAAACCCACTAGAGCAGCCCCTTTGACACTGGCTCTAGACATTTGGAAATGGTAAATGGACTTCAGTAGTACTACACCCTGATATGCAATGTTCATTACAACTATTGATGCTGTATCTTTCTTAATTTTTAATAATCCCTCACAAGCTTTAACATTTGCGACCACTGGTTAAGTATGCAATGGTGTTTTAAAAAATAATCATTTTAATGTAAATCCTAAAAAGAAATTGCGACCAGGAGGGTTTTTATACATACCAGACCCTCAAGAGGGAAAGTAATCCATGTGTTTAGTATATGCAAACCTACAAGTGTGATTTTCCGGTTTTATTTACAAAATAATAAGAAATAAATTTGGTCTGCGCCGTCACTAACAATACATGACAGTTGATGTGTTTTTTTCTTTCAGAAAGTACCAGGTGGTGTTCTGCTACACCATCATAGAGAGGAACAACCGTAATGTGCTTCCAGTGGTTCGCAGCTCTGCAGGGGGAGACAGTTTAATGACTAACACCAACCCTCTGGACAGCTTCTTCCCCTTCGACCCCTACCTACTTCAGAGGTACACAGACTAATTCTTCTTGACAAGATAGCAACTCTTTACTTTTCTATGGCTTGTGACTCAATTATCTCTCTGCAATAACACAGTTGCATTTTTGCTGAAACAAAATAGATTGCAGGACTCAGAAGTTGCGGGAAAATCACATTTTTACAAACTACGATTTTTTTTTTCCTGCATTGCATGCCTTGATTAGAGAGAAAGTACAGTGGATAGAGTCAGAAATAAAGGGCGAGAGAGAGAGAGTAGGGAATGACATGCAACCTAACCTAAAGAACAGAATTACTTTCAGAGATGCTAGCAATACTGCACAAGTTAACTGAAACTACATGAACGGAACTCAACAAACACTATCTCAGAAACTTTCTGTGGATGTTTATGTGTACAGGTCTGGTCAGCTGATTGAGCCATTGTACCAGGTCTGGGAGGAACTAGCAGACACGGAGCTGCCTCCCACCCAAACAGGCAATCAGGTAAGATGACAGAAGACTTAGAAATGTTCATGGGGTACTTCAGTAACGTCCTACTGCCATATATTGGGACATTTTTTATATTTTAGGCTGAACGTAACAATTATTTTAATTGTTGATTATTTTCCGTTTATTTTGTGTATGAAATGCCAACTGTGGTCAAAAGTAGCATCCAATTTTCACAAAGCCAAGGGTGACTTTTTTGTGGGGGTTTGGTCTGTTGTTTTTCAACTTCCACCAGTCCATTGCTATGTTTACGAAGCCATTAATATCACTAAGATCACTTATAATCGGTATGACAGCGTGATTAGAATAAAAGTGCTGGTAACACCTCAATCTGAAAAGACTGGCCAAATCCGGCCAGTTTTTAAAGATTTCTTTCTGATCTGGAGGGTGTGTTTATAGAAAATCTATATACTTGTTTTGATCATTTCTTCCTGGTTTGGTTAAAATCATTCTTGCTCTCAACATTTGCACATGTCTAAAAGTCTTCCTACAGACAGAGCGGCAACCTCTGGTGTTGAAAAATTGAGCCAATGCCTAAGTTCAATAAACTGCAGTTCCACAATGTCTACTTGACTCCAATAGCTCAGAAGGGGAGAGGTTACTCTGTGTTGAACCACAAACGCTTGTCTGCTACTGTGTCATTCACTCTGAAAGAGCATCCCCCTTCCCCTTATATTTCATTCTGGATCTTTGGATGGAAACAAACCCTGTCAGCAATTTTATTCAAGTTATTGAGAGCTCTTCTCCACATGAAAACCCCAAAAGGGCAAAGCTCTTTGCTTTAAAACTTAACTGACATGTTTGCTTTTGAATATAGTGAGATAATAAAACTTTCAAACCGGACCTTGAGATGGAGTAAAAAGCAATTTGCAGTGGCCATCTTTTTGGGATAATTTGCCTCTCTTATGGAACTAGAAGACATAGAATGCCCAGGTCGAACATGAAATATAAAATATAAAAAGCCTTTCTGTATCTACACAGGTATATTGTGAGAGCATATAAAGTTAATCATCCAGTCTTGCTTTGGACTCTACATGGATTTAGGACTTCTTTGATGTTCATGTAGTGTTGCTCACCAAACTGATGTTGTGTTTGTTCCTCCAATGTTAGGGCTCAAGGGAGGACGAGGATGACTTCCTGTGTGGGGAGACTCCCAAGACAGAGGGTGTAGTGGGAATGACACCAGGCTCCTACGACTCAAACTTTTGTTGCCCAAGCGGCATGGGTTCACCCCCAATCACCTTCCAATGACCTTAATGCTTAGTCATCTTCTGTCCTATTCAATGGATCCCCGTGGGTTTGACAGAGACTTTCTGCTCTTTGACTCCAGAACCTTTTGAAGAACAGATGTTCTTTTGATATCATCAAGGTCACTCCCAGAGCGAGCAGCCACACATGGGCAGGAATCTGTAATGTGACAGTAATCTTCCCTTCATAATTCAGATTGTCTTTAATCAAAAGAATTGCAGCAAACAGTAGAATAATTCACAAACCAGTCAAATCAGAAGATATTGGACTGATCTCTATTCATATCAGAATACATAACATCAGTGTTAATGAATAAATAATCGATATCTGTATCTGTGAGAGAGCCCCAAATTTCTGTTAATGACTGACAACATATCAAGTATCAAAAATGGAGTTTCTTGAATTTCCACATTAGGCTGGCTTCAAAATTAGTCCAAAGCCAAAAACTACAATATTAAAATACCCAATTTTACAGCCAAAATAAACATGTTATAGCCTGGCTTTCTATTGTTTATTTACCCATTTATGCCATTCAGTGTGTCAGATGTTATAGACCCTGAACTTTAAGCCATTTCTGGGCTTGTTGTGTGGTCTTTTTTGTACTAACTGAGCGACAGGTTAAAGAAAGAAGTCAGTGCTTTTTTTATTTTGTTTTTATTTTGAGCTACCTGGCTTGTTAAGCTTTTTTTATATATTGATTTATTTGTTTTAATTCTGACTTCCATGCCCCCTGTGAAAACACAGTTGATTGCTTTATGAGGCCTCGATATTCTGTTAAGCAATCAAGTGACATTGACATTGGTGAGACTGTGTGTCTTAACCTTGGCAGAAATGTATGCACAGACAGAAGAATTTGGATTTGGACTTATATGAGAGTTATATTTTTGGCAGTAAAATGAGTTCATACAAGACAGACTTGAAAAAATGTCAACATACATCTTATGACATTTGAGTATTTACATTTTCTCCAATCTAATTATTCCTTTACTGTTTAACTGTCTGTTAATGGTTAACATGTTTGTGTTATGTCTTGTCTTATGTCAGAGTTTTATGTTTAAAAGTCAATTATGTTTTGGCTTCTCTCCATCACACCTGTCTTTGTTATTTGTCTTATTACTTCAGAGCGCCAGAGTATTTTTATTTTTTGTACAAATGCTATCAGTTTCTGGCACAGAATTACATTGCATTTGCTCCTGAAACACATGCAATCTTTTCTCCAGTACAGCTAATAGAGTATGTTTGTATAATATTAAATTATTATTTTATTTTTTTACAGCATTTTAACAGAAAACTGTTACAAAATATATCTGTTTTTTCAGAGTGAAGTAGTGTAGACAGTCATCCTGTATACTTAACACAAGTATTTTTTGTCTGCAAAATTACTTCTGTGGAAAACTGAGCTCTTAGACTGCATGCTGACTGATCCAGATATTTGCCCCACAATTTATGAAATTGTCAACCTGTGAAAAATCACTGCTTTAGCAGAAAAATCTAATTTTAGACAACTTGAATAAACCACATCAAATTCAGTCATCAGTCATTTAATAGAAAAATGAAACAGATGTGGCCACATCAAAGATGCAATATTGTAGATATACAGGACGTGTCAGTATTTTGAAAGCATTTGCAGCTGTTGATTTAAATAAAAGGTAACACAAGATAAAGCAGGAGCTACAGCAACTTGTAATTATCTCCTGGATGTAGGACACATCAACATGAACCATGCAGTGAAGTGAAGAGGCAGATGACAAGCACTGCTCCGGCCCAACTATTATTTTGCTTTTAATTTTTAGTGAGGGCACGGGATGAGTTGACAAAATAGGCAAAAGGGACACTTTCTTTTTCCCTGTATTTGCTCAACAGTTCACAACTTCTATGACAGAAGATAAGCAACGTGATGGAGAGACATGGCAGTGTGGTGCTCTGACAAAGGAAGACTCTTTGAACTGATCATGTCTAGATTATCCTTTTCAAGGAAACAAGTCCTCAATTACATACATTAGTTTAGATTCTATATTGCCAGTAAGTTTCATTTTGAGAATTAATGGTTGTCCGTCCTTATGTATCAGGCATGGGATTGATTGATGATCTGTCCAGGGTGTATCTTGCCTCTTCCCAAGTGTCTGCTGGGATTGGTTCCTCTCCTTAATGATCCTGCAAGGGATAAGCAGTTGTAGCTGATGTATGACTGGATGATTTATTGGGTTTCTTAGAGACTTCTGCACATATTTTATCATCAAAAGTTGGAAGTCCTCAGTCCAAAACTTCCCACTGCTGAACCTCCTCAATAGACACAGTTGAATGGTTCAAAGGAAGACTCCCATTTCATGTGTGAGCTAGCTTTGGCATTAAAACATTGGTTGTGTTTTTAAGCACTCAAATCAATTTGTTGAAGTGACATCATTTAGAGAAGGTATTAGATGATGTCTTGTATGTTGACTGAAGTTTTGTCCGCCATGGGTTCAACTTTTTCTTCAGCATCTTCTGCTTGTCCAGGTACTCTCCAGTTCTCTGTTGCTCATACATGGTGAGGGCTGACACCTGGGGCTGATGCTGCCTCAGATGCACTCACTGAAGGTACAAGTCAATCGCAGTGAGACAGAAATAGGTTTTAGTAGATACACAATTAAATCATCATCATGTGACACAAGTTAAACTTAAAAAGAGAAATCTACTTATACTTTCTCAATTTCAAATTCACACCATATAATCCACTTGCTAAGTGAGAAAATCTTGTGTTTCTCTACTCTTACCAGCAAATTGGGCCAAATTCTGAACTTTTATCCTCAATAGAAAAACATGTCTCCAGACTAAAACGAAATGATGTCTCTTTTTTAGCATGTTCAAGTGTATTCCATGTTGCCTATGTACCTTGGGCATCAGCAGTGAGGGTACAAGCTCCCACTACCAGCTCTTTGGCCTCAACAGCCAGTTGGAAGGCAGGATCAGGAAGTGGTGATGGGGTGTCAGGACTGTCAGTGCCTGGGGATGACCTGTTGCTCCTGACAGAACACATGTACAGGATAGTGGTTACAGCAGGACTTGAATTGTAGGTGTAATCTTGAGCTTTAGTATTATACAATCTCTTACCCGCCCTCTCCTCCAAACAAGCTGGGTGTTGTCAGGACTTTGTGGACGTTCTGAAGACAAAATAATGTAGTGTGACTTGTGTGAAAACATCATTTTCATAACAAAACTTAAACAGAACAGATGACACCAACACAATGCAAGAGGCACAAAGAAAGAGAAGGTGCTATAGTGGATTCAGAGATCATTTTTGGTGAGGTCCACTTTTAAAACGAATGCATGCCTGGACTGCTGCAAACCTGACCTAACCAGTGCATTGGACTTGGACTAGACATTATTTTTGTAGAATTCATTTCAATTGTTTATGATAAGAAACATGTAGAATAAACAACGTTCCCAATTTTTCATTTACAGAACTATGTCTTTAAAGAATAAATTAACACTTGATTCAATGGTATATGTAGCTTGATGTCAAATTTACATCTTCCTTAAAGATGTTTTTGTTATCAGTATTTTGGCAAGACAATTCTGTTTCTGAAGTGTGTCGTGGTCTAAATACAGCTGTTGTCAACTCAACCACAAGGGGGCATCCTGGCTCCATAACAGTATAGGAGTGGGTAACAACTGGGAATATTTGGAACTCTAACAAGGTTGCTCCAGATTGTTAAAGAAGACATGATCAATGCCATCAAATGGGATTCAATCTATAGACAGTCCAACAGGCCTTATTAGTAATTCATTACTTTTATCGGACACCACAGGCATCTACTCAATTCACATAATCACAAAACTTTTCTCCAAAAAAAGCAACTGGCATTTGGGCTACAGGCAAGATATATCTTAATTTAGAAACCATACAGGCCCTTTAGAGATCCATAGCCAATTAAGGGATCTCTTTTTTTAATCTTTAATTCTTACAACTTAAAGATAGAAATTACCGTATGTGTGGGTGTGCAGATTTTCAGCAGTGGGTTGCATGATGCTCTAAGTAAGTAAGGGGCAGCAGGAGTGGATGTGTGGGACTAATTCAAAAGACTGCAACTGTATGGCTGATGTTTTGAATAGTTTCATGACAAAAATTGGCACAGAGCCACTAGATACATCATGCATTGATACAGACACAATACTTGATACCTGCATTCTTGGTTTTAGCACAAAAAAATATATCAAAGAATAGGAAAACTAGGTTTGAATCTCTTAAGTCAACATGTAAACCTCATTATTTGAGGTTTTTAGTTAAAGTTCTACCTGAGCAAAGCCGAGCAGTTTTTTGTTGGAGATCTCTAGGTGTTTCCTGCTCAGCTCTGACTTCCTTAGCTGGCAGTCAATGGTTGTCAGCCTCCTGTTCAGCTCCAACACCTCCTCCTGACAAACACATGACACATACCCAAACAACATTTAATGTGTGTGCACTGAAACAGTGCCCTTACATTTTTGTGTAGAAGTAGGTTAACAAGACTGTCAAATAGTGATAATGAAAGAAAATTCAAACCATGGCGAGACTAGTTAAGAGAGGGTGACTTATTGAATATTGAAGTATTAATTATTTAATTTAAAATATTCATTGTAAATTATTTAAATCTGTCTAAAATGACAATATTACTTTCAATAAAATGAAGGTACTTGACAATCAAATATTCTAAAGTGCAATAATAGAATGGACAGGTGTATAAATAAATATTTTGTCATTAGAGAAAAGAAAGGAGGAAATACAGAAAGCATCAAGGAAGTGGGGAATAAATATGAAGGAAACGAAAAGACAGGAAGAATGTTCCAAACGTTCGTTTGATTATTTCTAAATCCTAATCTAGCCATTGGCAGCAATCACATGTCACAATCACTTAATCACAATCACATCTCTTTTTGTTCCTCAAAGGAGAACAATTTCAAACAGAGTCTATCCTTATTTCTACAGTGGGGTCGTGCGTCAGTCAGAGTATTTACCACCTGAGATAAAAAACCACAAGAGCCAAAGGAAACATATATAAAGCCTCTTATTCATCAAAGCATGATGGTGGTGAAAACATAGGCAGAACTCTGTGTCTAGGTCTGGTGGGGGCTGTGGAAGTGCAGCTTAATAAGCTTCACAAGGATCTGGCAGCAAAAGCAGGCACAACACTGACGGTGCTACAGGGCCTCCAGCTCATGACAGAGGATGGCAGGAACACAGATGACAGGAAACATCTTGGCTTAATGCTTTTTAAATCCCACACCAAATCATATGCAGAGGAGAGAGTTCATATTTGGAGTCAATTGTTGGCTGTGAGCCAGAAAAAGAGGCTTTTCACACATCTGCTCTTGTAGATTAACTCTTGTCTGCAGGTGATATCACACCATGCATCACATTTTCAACAAGTTTATGCAGTGCCCTTGAAGGTGAGAGATCAATAGCTGTTCATAATGGTGTATGATATGCATACCTGTTATGAGCACATCTAACCAAATATTGTGATCAATTGTAGAAACTAAGAACTGTGGTTAGTCTTCTTGTTGTTAATCTAACTTTGTTTAGTTGCTTGAAGAGATTGAAAGTACAGTGAACCAGGTAGCATCGAAAGTTAATGTGTCTCACTGGCATCAGATTAACAGTGGACCAGGGCAAATGTTTTTTTTTTAGAAAGTTAGAAAGTTAATAACAAGAAACTGATGAACAAGACACTCATACTGATTTTCACATGGGACAAGATAAAACTAATGTGTGCATTCTTGTAAGTTAAATCCAAACCATGCATTTTTAATCTTCACTGAAGTCTCAGAATCCTTCAATTATCCCAATGATAATCAGGGCAAGTATTCATTTAGCTATTTTATGTATTGTTGGTAGTGTATTTCTTACACTGATCAGATGTTTTGTATGAAAAATCAAAATCCACAAATCACTATCCGCTCAAAAAAATGTTGTAAAAACTACTGAAGAACTAATTCAAAACGTATTCAAAATAGAACACGTTAAATACCTGACTGAGACTTACCTTAGTGGCCTCCAGTCCTTGTGCTTGCCTTTTGCTAGCCAGCTGGTTCTTCAGGTCTCTGATCTCAGCCTCCAGCAGCTGGATGACCTCCTCGTAGTCCTGCTCTGCACTGCTGGGCTGGTGCTGTCCAGCCTCAGCCTCAGCTGCCTGCAGACGACTCTTCAGGTGACTGTTCTCCTCAACAGTCAAACATGCTTTCTGGATGGAGGAACAACTAGGTTCAACACCTTTACTGATAAATAAACACATTTCAGCTCAGCTTAGACACAGTGTTGTAGGTCTCCACACATTGTTTTGACTTGTCTCTCACCTCGGAGGTCTTCAGCAGCTCCTCCTCCAGGGTTTTCTTGCTGTGTTCCATGTCCTTCAGCATCACCTGCCAAGAGAGGCAGCAGATGAAGCATAGTAGGCTTTTACTGGCACAAAAGGCTTAGGACCCTCAGTGGTTCTGAGACCAAACTACTTAACAGAAAAAAAATCAAAAATCAAATCAATTAGATTCATTTTATATGGTTACTATGGACCTGTTGGTTTTGGGTTAGGGTTAGGGTAATGCTTTGGCATTTTTCTTTGTCTCAGTAGCTCCTAATTATGCTTGTGACTAATTTTAGTCTTTAAGTAATTCTCAATATACTTCCATACATTTCCAGTTTTTATACTATTAATATTTATGGCCAACATTTATTTGCCTTCAAAATTTACTTTACTAATAATGTTAATTACTGGTGCCAAAGTAAATTTTTCACACTGAAGTTCCAAATAGTGTACAACATCAATGGGATACACAGGATAATTGCATGGTTTCTGATATCATCAACCTGATAGAATTCTTGCTTTTCACCGATTACACTACTACAATTGTTTAAGAGCTGTACTCTTAAACATAAAGTTACTTCAAACCCAACTTTCCTTTTACTGCTGCATTACTATTTTTAGAACTCAAGTGCTGCATTTTTACAGCCCGAGAAAATGCAATGTATATAATTATGTAAATGTTCAAACAAATACATCTATTTTGCTCGTCTACAGTTTTCTGGTTGTGCATAAGCCTCATATAAACTCAGTTTCTTGCTGCAATCTTCTACTCGCCACTCAGTCTTTGTCTGAGTTAAATGCTCAGATGATCCAAGATAATCTATAAGAAATAAGTGATTACATATCATTGTTTGATATAATATGAAGTCTACCATCCACCAACATCTTGTGTATGAGTGATATTAGTGTTTATGTTCACCTTGAGCTGCTTCATCTGGGTTTGCAGCTGCTTCACTTCTGTCTGAAACTGCTCCATCTCCTCACTGCTGTAACTGCATTCTGATTCATATGTCTAAAGACACACACACACACACACACACACACACACACACACACACACACACACACACACACACACACACACACACACACACACACACACACACACACACACACACACACACAAAATACCGTTATTTTTGTTGTTAATCTGTGTTAGAGTGCTTCATGTGAGGGGACTGCTTACAGGAGAGTGGAAGGCTGAAGTGTCCATCAAGCTAGCAGCTTCGTGATAGGAAAACAAGAAGGGACCTGCAGCTAAACCAAGCTCCTCAAGGTTCTCTTGAAAGATGTTCCGGGTGGCATCCATAAAGTCTTAGGGTAGACAGACATGCAAAAAATGAAAAATGGCAGTGTTACTATTAGCAACAAGAACACTGCCACAATGCATCTAAATAGATGAGTCTTTTATTAAGACAAAAGAGATAATTGTCTAAATTCATAATATCCTAAATCAGAGTGATAAATGATAGACAAATATATTATTCTCTCTCCTACTCTAAGTTTCCTTACTCTTTTTGCTTTAAGCAGTTGATGTATTGTATTGTATGTACTGTATTTTGTAATACATACAGCACATATTGCATGCTATAGAAAGAAGCAACCCCTCAAACAATTAATTCATAACATATTACAAGATACAATATTAGAAAATAGTGTCTTGCTTTTTGTACTTGTCATTGGGTTTCATAATGTACACTTTATTAAACATGCTATTTTTATTATGTATATATATTTTAAAAATTAACCTATGACCCATTGATTAGCAGATTGTATTAGTAATACATTATTATTATTTTATTTTAAGTATTTACATGTACAAAGAACATGAGATCATCATGGGTGTTACAGGTAAAATCAAAGTATTCTTTTAGACATACATCATGGTATAATATCATACTATTCAAGGTGCATACACAATCCATTTTTCCCAGCGTTCAATGCATTTCTCCAACTGAAGTCTTAAAACAAAAGTAAGTCTCCCCATACAGTAAATTTCTTGAATGATCCCGCGCCACTGGTCCAGTGTTGGAGGGTCTGGTTGCAACCATTTCCTAGTTATAGCTTTCCTACTACTTGCCAAGAGTATCTTCAATAAGTATTTATCCTTCTGTAGGACTGTTTCCGGTATTTTACCGAGATATAAAGTAACAAAAGAGAAATCTAAATCCACTGTTTGCATTGCTGTTATCTTAGGAGTTATAAAAAATCTCACTACATTCTTCCAGCCGAACTCTCTCAGTGATCTTGAGTTTGCAGTGGTCGCTTGTGTCTCACATATTTCCATCCAGATCTCTTCTGATATTTGTATTTCTGACTCCTTCTCCCATTTTTGTTTAATGGATAACGTAGAATGATTTTTAGAGGCTTGTATACTTCCGTATATTCTTGAGACCAACTTTTTATTGTCATGCATCATGAAATATAGAAATCAAATTGTATTCCTTCTCCTCTTTGACCTGTAATTTTCTCTGACTTGCAGGTATCTATGGAAGTCCTGCTTTTCTAGTCTAAATGTGTCTGAAATTAACTCATAACTCTGAAATTTTCTGTTTGAGGTGAGGGAACAAAAGGACGTGATACCTCTCCTAACCCACTGTTTGAAGCCCCCGTCCAATCTAGCAGGTTCAAATTCTGGATCATATGCAACCCAATTCAAAACCCCAGCCTGTTTCTCCATTCGTAACTTCCTCAAAACCTTAAACCTTAGCTTAAGAGTGAATAAAGTCCATCGATTCAAGCTGTTATAATATCTTTCAGCTTGGCTTTTATTTCCTAGTATAGATTGTATTGGAATTTTTATCTGTGTACTTTCCAAGCTTTTCCATTTGGATTCATAATTTGGAGCGCACCAGTATACTAAGGGTTTCAATTGTGCAGCATAATAATAATCCTGTAAGCATGGTAAAGCTCTTCCTCCCTTCTCTTTTTTCAGCTGCAGTGTCTTGAACTGAACCCTAGGTCTTCTACTGTTCCAAACGAACCTTGAGATCCAGGCATTCCACTCATCAAATTGTTTTTGAGGCACATCACTTTAGGGATGCTTGAGTCTGGGCTTGTAATAAAAAGCAGAACATCATCTGCAAACATACAAGTCTTATGTTCTTCTCCTCTAATCATAATTCCCTTTATCTCAGAGTCCTCTCTAATTGCTTGACCCAAAGGTTCAATAAATAACGCGAATAGGGTCGGACTCAGGGGACAGCCCTGGCGTGTCCCTCTTTCCAAATGAATAGTTTGCGACAGGTGTCCATTGACCCTGATCCTGGCTGTTGGAGAGAAGTAATACATTTAATAAAACCATCTTTGAAGCCAAATCTTGCAAGTACCCTGTATAGGTATTCCCAACCCACCAAGTCAAATGCCTTTTCAGCGTCTAGGCTGACCAAAGTAATACATTATTAAGTAACAAATATAATCCAGTTAATTCAAAACATTTACTAATTTGGTCTTGTTATAAGTATTAAATAAATGGAGCACTGAATACAGAGGCTTAATTTTGGACTTTGACTGTCTACATGTATATAATCAGACACAGCTACCCTATGGTTATGCAATGTGACACCATATACAGGTGACACAACCAGATACTGACATGCCACCGTTGCAAGGAGCCTGTGATCTGACAGGATTTCAAGACAGATATTTCAGCTTGCTGTTGACACAAGTGGAAGTGTGTTTCTGTACTTGTGTCTCACCTCCATAGGCCACAGTGCCTTGTGGGTCTATAGTCAGACTTTGTTTTAACTCCATCCTCTTCTCTTCTGTGACATTCAACCCAAGGAAGGACAAAGCCTGAGAAACAGAGACCAAAAGGTTATCAGAGATATCTTCAGCATGATACCATTGATGCAAGAGGTAAACTTAGTCGTGCCATTAATCTGTAGCCCTCTGCCCTCTGAATCACAGTTAAATACAAAAATATTAGAAATTTTAAGTCTTGATTGAATGTTTCATTACACAATTTCCACATGTAGATGATGACGCTTCTACTGAAAGATGTTGATATACAATGATTAAACAAACAGATCAGAAAATATCAGAAATTTGGATGCTACATTCATGTATGCTGTATTGCTGTATTAAACTGGCAGTTGATAGCCAAATACATAGGATAGGATAGTACTTTATTGATCCCCAGAGGGGAAATTCAGGAAACATACACATGTATTTAGGTGTAAATGTTCTGTTTGGTAAATAACATTACATGTTTGCGGGTTTCTGCAGATTAATGCATTCCTAAATTCTTGTTTAAGTCCTTAGTGTCAAAGAGTACCAATGTACATCTGACATCATAAGTTATTAAATCATTCATAATGCTGCATTTAGACAAATGTGGGTGTTTTTGAAACAAAGAGTCCTTAAGCAGAGAAGAAAACCCTCCCTATCAAATTTTGACTATGTAATTAATTACTTTAAAACATTTATATATGTCAACTTTTTCTTTAGTAAAAAGACTATTTAATAGAGATGAACTTAAAAACACACTTGTCTTTTCTAGATTAGGGGTAATATTCTCAGGGATAGATACAAAATCTCTGTGTTGAAATTACAGTGATTTAAGCATATTATCATAAAACTTTCAAATATGTCTTAAGAAAATTGACACTAAAAATGTGCTAATTGTCCTGAAAAACTCTCTTTTTTGTAACTATACAATGTTATTTCTCATAAAAAACACAAATTTTCAAAAACAATACTGCATAAATGTTCTCAGTGTTAGCAACTAATGCTTGACATACTAACTGCCAGTTCTGGTCTAATCCAGTTTTCTTTTTGTAAGAGCAAGAAACACAAAACACTGCCTAATTGATGAGCCCCTGTGGATTCCTGACACTGGCTGTAATTTCTTTCCAATGCCCTGAAACAGCAAAAGGGCATCTATCACTGAATTGACTAAATCTGTAGCATGTGTCATAGGTATATATTTCAATTCAGACAATGTGACCTTGCTCCCAAGTGGCTCAGAATAGGGTCCTGGCTCCTCATTGGCTTTGAAAGGTTCATGCCACCTGACTGGATAAGAGAGCTTGATCCTGATTGGCTCAGGCAATGTCTAGCTCATGATTAGTTAAATAAAAGGGTTGTGACTCCTGATTTGCTCAGATTGAGGGCTTTATTTTACATATTTTAAAGTACACGATCCAAGCCTGGTCATAACGAGCATGCCTGACGATTAATGGCAAATTGCAAAAGGGTTGTATGAATCACCATTCATTGGTGTGTCTTGTGAGTAATTAGGAGATACTGTAAGTGTTGTCTATAATTCCTTATATGAAAAAGTCGCGCCTGCAGGCAAGCATGTTGCTTTATTGGATGTAGTTATATCTACTGTAACAAACCTGTAAACAGTTGTACTGTTATACTGTTGTGTCATACTCACAACTTACTTCCAAAGTATGAGGACCTTGTGTACATTGTGCACATACATTATTTATGTCTCCTGATATGCCTTAAGTATCATACAGGATCCTATGTTAACTAATGTTTCATATAACTAATGTCAAAGATTACCTGATTGGCTCAAACAAAGTGGGTGTGCTCAAGATTCAGTCAGAAAAAGTGTCCTGGTTTCTGATTTGTCAGACTAGCAGACATTTTCCTGATTGGCCCATAATCAGAAGTCAAGATGCTCCTGGTTTGCAAAGCCGGGCCTCTAAGGGTGCACTCACACTTGGCAAAGTTGTCCCATACCATGCATGAAGCACGATTGTCCCCCCTTTCCATTCCCCCTCTGGCCTGCACTTACACTGCTCTCGGACTAACCAGGCCTGAGCATGGTTACCTCTTGTACAACGTCGTAATACAACACATGCATGGCTTTACGTATCAATGAAGCGTGCTTACAAGACAGACAGACTTGGAAAAAAAAGAAAGAAGGGCATCAGCACATCTGATAACAACACAGAGAAGATGACAGCTACTTAACTGACTTTGTGGCTTATTTTGAGTTATTTTAGTTTTCTACAGCCATAACACTCTGGGATTTCTGGATAATTACGACTGTCCAGGTTCTGTACCCGTGCTTGTGCTCATGCATGAACTATACCGTGCCAAAGAACACCTCTTTTAAGCGTGCCACGATTAAGGAAGTGTGTCGTGCTTGAGCATGGATCTGAGCACTCACACTGGTCAAACGAACTGGACTTTAGGGGTGAAGCTTGCTTGGGCAAGGTACAGATTGCCTAGTGTGAGTGCGTCCTAAGTGCCACAGATACTGTCCTACTTCCTAGTCTGTATTGTCTCAGACTGGAAACCGGCTCTTTTTGGTTCAGTGTGTCCTGGTTTTTGATTTGCTTAGTCCAACTGTCCACTTTCCAATTGGACCAATACAAGTTGGTTCAGACTGAGAGCCCTGGCTCCTCATTCGTTCAAATAAAGTGCAGTGGTTCCTGATTTGCTCAGATAGAGTTTTGTGCCTGACTTGGAGCTTCTTCAACACGAAAAGGGAAAATTATGGACTGCCTACTTCAGGTTAAACAGCTTTGTAACACTGAAAACTCTGGCTATGGACTAAATATACCTCATCTTTGTCATGCCTCAGAGAACACCCATCTGTGAATACCTCAAACCAAACATTGTTTCAAGCTCTTCTTTAAAGTTACTCAATAATGGTCATCTCTCAACAAGATGTTGATCCCCAGCTACTGTAACCAGTTTACTGTAATCGCGATTGATAACATGCTAATTTGTCCCTTTAGGCGCACTGTGGCTAAGCCTCCACAGTGTCTCTCTGTAGTTACAGTGATGGAAAAGAACGACACAGCTGCTTTTTTGATCAAAAGCTCAAAGTTCCTTTTAGCTGTTTTCATTATCTATTGATCCATTACAAGTTCCTTTTTCAGTGGTTAAGTTATAACCTTTGACCTACCATAAGGGCCTTACTTTATTTCAAAAGAACAGGTTTTTAAAAAAAACCAGCAATAATAATGGCATTTCAAACATGCAATTAAAAATCAAATTAAAAACGGTAATCGTTTGACAGCCCTGATATATTTATACACTTGATAGTTGACTTTTAACATACATTTATCATCTAACGACTAATATATAAATCTCTGTGATTTATAAGCCACCAGACAAACTAATATTTTCATCCAGAAGGCTACAACTTGGTCTAGCAGAAGTTAAAGAAAAACTTATCACATTTCTTTTAAGGTTGAGAAACTATCCATTTGTTATTAAAGCAGTCAAAATACTACCTCGGTAACTTGATAGTTATTCATTTTTTGTATTATATTCAATTATATTGTCATAATCATATTATATTGTTATGTAACATTTTCTTCACAGTATGTCATATCAAATTAGCCTACTGCTTAAATGACAGTTATTATGTTGTTCTGTCCACAGATAAAGGAAAGAAATGTGTCTGCCAGTTGCCCTAAACAAACTGTAACCAACTTGTCAAAGCTGATTGGAGCAGTATTATTCATACCCCATACAAATCAGGAGGCCAACCCTTGACTTGTAATGTTAGGTCTTTTGTCAGATGTACTTGATACAGTAAAACCTGCCCTGAAACTAATGCATTAGCCTACATGTTGCATGACATATGCAATAAATCAAAGCTACATCTTTTAATAAATGACAGTGATAAAATATTAACTCCGTTATCAGTAAAAAATGGCAAACTACACCTTAAGCAAGTGGTAATCCCTTCATGGGATGCCAACAAGAATATTTAGCATCACAACTCTAAATCCCTTAACCACAGAACTGGACTCACCAAATCTAACTTGTCTGATTTGAGGCGTATGTAGGGGTCCAGTGTTATCTTAGGTTTGGCCTCTGTTGGGGATCTTTGGCTGGTTGAACCTTGAGAAAGAAACAAGAAAGGGAAGGGGGTTGGAATGAAAAAAGAAAGTAAGATGAATCAAAAGGAAAAACTGATGCACATTTGTCAAGGACAAAGGGAGAAAACAAAGCCAGGAGTAACAAGGTATGAAATATTTCCCATGAATGCTCGTTGGAAGAGTTGGTTGTCTTTCAACCGGAAGGTTGGGAGTTCGATCCCAACTCTTGCAGTCACATGTCCATGTGTCCTTTGTCAAAACACTGGACTTCAAATTGCTAAGGCTGCTGCGTCACAGGCATGTGAAGCTATAAACCCACTATTCATTGTGGTGTTCTTGTTGCTGTTTTTTTATCCTTCTTCTTCTTTCTGCATCTCCCTCTATTCCACTTTCCAATCCCAACACAATTTTGGCAGATGGCTGTTCAACATGAGTCTGGTTTTGCTTATGGTTTCTGCCTCTTAAAAGAAATTTTCCTTTTCACTGTAACTTGTTGCTTAGTGCTGCATTCATGATGGACTCATGTTTAGTCTTTGGTATTATTATAAAGAGTAAGGATTTTTACATATTTTTTATAAAGTGTCTTGGGATAACATGTTTTATGAATTGGCGGTAAACAAATAAAGATTGATTGATGGATTGACTGAATGAATTAATGAGATCATTTAATACAGATGGATACTTTACATAGCAGCCTCTGCCATAAGTGTGTGAATGTGCTGTGAATAGGTAGGTATGACATTCAACATTTGACATCTACTGAGGCTACAGTATATATAGTTCACAACTGGGGAAGAAGTAATCTATAATATGACAGTCATTAAATAAACATTCTCTATGGATCTGGTTGATCAGAATCTTAATCAGAAATACTTTATTAATCCCAGGGGGAAATTCGGTAAAGCACGGTAACAGGCAGCTTGAGGGGTCGGCCACAGTGTTTTGGTGATAACGGGGATGTGTGTGAGCGTGTGTCTGTTGGCTGGGAGATGATTAAAAATAGAAAAGTGGAGGCAAGGTGGATAAGGATGAGTGTGAGGGACAGTGAGAGAGGGGAGGGCAGAAAGCCAATACTGTTATTAATTTGATGAGTTTGTCTGTCCTAGATTTGTGTTTGCTTGCTTTGGTAACAGGAACATTTCCTCTGAGTCTGCATACCCACGGTTAAGGGATATGAGCTGATTTCCATGACTAAACTCCACCTCCTCCTCGTACCACCCAAAGGATTTGCAACCTCCCCCCAGCACTGACTGGTGGTGAAAACAGACAGACCTGCTGTCGTGGCAGCAGACGTGCTTTACACATGGTTGCAGCAGAATACCACTTGATAGTGCACAACTTGCTGTTTTTTTTACAATAGAAATATTAATCACAATGTTATTTGTACTCCATACCTGAACTAAGGAAACAAATTACTAATGCTCAAACTAATTTGCTAATTTGGTTGTATTAAGCTACATGACGGAAGAAATATTGTAGTTTTACAATACTTTAAGAACTTTGACAAAAAAAACTGTGCTTAAATATTATCAGTGACAGTGATTCCAAACAAAAAAGAGAAGGTTAAAAAACAAGTAAAGTGTGTGACGTCGAAATCAATTATGCACATATTCAAATGGTCTACAGTTTAGATTTTTTCCTTTTTTGTGAGCCATGGCCACATTCTTTAATGAGGATTTGCAGTGCATTTTTAAAGGCTTTAAGTGAAAGTATGCATTACTGCCTCTGCAGTGCACTGAAAATGACTTACCCCAGATACTAGAGTCCCTAAATCACACTGTAATCTCCTCTAGTCCATCACTGGAAACCTCTTGAAGACAATTTCTATAGCAATTCCGTAGACACTTTATGCACATTTTAAAACTTTCAGCATCATTTCCGTCACTCTGCGATAGTCTGATGCAAGTAAAGGTCTCAGCTTCAGGAATCACTGTTCCCACTTCTATGGTAGGGCTTAGTTGTACAAAAAAAATCAACAAGATCAGAATGATTGGGAAATCTCATCTTTTGCTGTTGAGGATCAGTTAATCTTACTTTGTCTGGTATTATAAAGCAGCATTGAATTGGATCATCCTGATCTAGACACAGACTTTTCAGGATAACCCTATCTCAATATCTAGTGCTCTAAATTGGATTACATATCACCGTGGAGGTACTAGCTTCGGGAAGAACAGGCAGCACAGGGTCAACTTCAGTGCTTTAATTCAGAGATCAAAATGCAATAAGGTAATATTGCATTTTGCTTTACAAGTTATAAATTACTTCTGACTGTCCCATTGTTTTAAGCAAAAAGTGAGCTGATTAACTTTCAATGAAAAGTTAATCACAAAAAAAAAGAAAAAAAACGATATTTTGTGATCAATACTGACATTATTTGGTAAATTACTATTCTAGTCTAACGCTCCTCTACCTACAATGTCACAATAAAAGTTATTCAGGGGCGCTAAGTGTGCAGAGTCTACAGCCACTGCTGCAGCAGCCAGTTCCACTCTGCCACTCAGCCTGCATTCTTTCCTCACAATATTACCTGTCTCTCTTCAGCTGTCCTATTGAATAAAGGAAAGTACCCAAAAATAGTAAACCAGCAGCAGGAGCAACATTTGATTTATATAATCCTGAAATCATCCAGCAACTACTTGTTTTCATCAATAAAAGTCACTCTTAAGTTCTAGGTATTTTAAACGAGTATTTGTAACTTATCTGCTGAAAGCTATCATGGCTAGCAACTGGCCTAACATATAAGAGCCTACAGAGCTAACTGGTCACAGCACCTGGGAAATAGCATCGACTAGGGTAATCCGGGCCAATAGGATTTGGACAGGATGTTGGGTGGCTTTGAGCTGGGATCCATGGAAGACCTTAAAATAGATCAACTGGACTAAAATTTTTAAATTATATCACCTAGAACTTTCTTACATTTATAACAAGTGGTTGTTTTAATACTTGTTTTTTAGTCTTTAAGTTTTAAAGTGCCATTTTGGGATCCTACTTGTGATCTGTTACATTAAGGTAACTAACTACTGGCGTAGCTCCCACATCTTGACTAGAAAAGGTAAATAAATAGAATTAAAAATAACAGGAGGATAACATAACTAACCATAAATTGCAGATCCACAAATAAAAATAAAATATTTCCAGATAATCCATACATAACTATTTGTATCTAATAAACTGTTATTCATGCCGCTGCCATCAGCATGGGCCATGATTACACGCCTGTGGTGTAATGACAGAAAATCTGTAATACATTTCTTTAGGTATATACGTATATACAAGGGGCCATAAAAGCCATATTTCATTCTGGTTCTCTCACAAACTTTAATTCCTCTGCTCTCTCACATTAGCTTTGCTGACACTTCAAAATCACACAAAATCATGAAAACTTTTATCCATCTCTTCTTTCTGCATCTCCCTCTATACCACTTTCCAAGCTCCACACAGTTGTGGCAGAGTGAGTTCAAATCTGCTCAAGGTTTCTGCCAGTTAAAAGGTTAAATAAGCAAAAAGTAAGGCCTGAGTTGCGTGTAAAAAGTTACATGCAACATGCAGATGTTACATGTTAGTGTCTTGAAATTACATCTCATTAACTCAATTAACTATTTAGTTAAAGACATCTCATTTTAAAATACTTAAGGAATATTTTCTTGCTGCATTTGCAGATATTTTTTAATTACAAGCAATTCAGGCCATATCTTCAGCTTTTTTATGTCTTGAAATTAGATATTTTTATTTAGACTTGTCAGGTTTATGTGGCTTATATTTGACTTGAAATTAGACTAACACATTTGCTAAGATTTCATTTTTTGCAGTGTGCCATGTAATTTTGGCAGTTTTTCCTTTATCTTAGGGTTTTTTTTATTCTGTTTTTAATAATCTATCCAGTTTTTTAAAAAATTCTGTTTTTAATAATCTATCCATTAAAAAACACCAGTGATTATTATAAATAAAATATTGCATAATTGTACAACAATCATTAAGTGCATACATTGTTAAGAAGATGGAACTCTTCACTGGGATTCCTGTGAACTGCAGGTCCCCTTCTGTGTTGGTTTCGAAAAAAATTCCATGCTTTCCTATCTGCCTAATCCCCAATCTCGCTAAGGGGCGTGTGTGTGTGTGTGTGTGTGTGTGTGTGTGTGTGTGTGTGTGTGTGTGTGTGTGTGTGTGTGTGTGTGTGTGTGTGTGTGTGTGTGTGTGTGTGTGTGTGTGTGTGTGTGTGTGTGGAAGGGGGGATAGAGTAGGATAGGAAAGTAGATAGAGTAGGACATCTGGAGAGAGAGAGAGAAGGGGGAATGACATGCTGCAAAGTGATGAGGGTGTGAGTCAAACCCGGGCCACTCTATGACTAAAGCTTCTGTATATTGGTGGTAGGACCTAACTGCTAGGTCACCCTGCACCCCCATTTGGGTCTTCAAATTGGCTTCATTGAAACAGAAAAACAAAGAATATTGCCAGACATAAAATAAAAGATGTACTTAGTTATATGAGCTGATATTAGAAAAAGTAATCCCTGTTATGGGAATATATCTTAGTACTTCCATTGCAAATCAATAGCCCACTCTGCACGACTACAGAGGTGTAAGCAGCAGATTGACAATTTTTACAATTAATTGGAGTAAAAGTGATGGTGGAACAAAACAAAATGAGTATAGTGAGGTGTTCACCTGAAATATGAATATCTGGTGGGCAGATGTCAGGAGAAGGAAAGGACACTGTGGCTGGTTCCTCAGTACAAATCTGGAAATATAAAAAAGACAAACATTAAATTCATGGTTGTGAAATTTCCAAAACACATAAAATAACTATTATATTAAATTATGTCAACATTTGAGGTATTTCTAATGGATAGTTTGGATAGTCTTTTGGTAGGAAAAGTCTCATACCATAGAATAGTGAGGTGTTAAAGACCAGGGACACGTTCAAAATGTCCTTAAGTTTCCTGAGTGAAACAACCCTGAGGAATTTCAGTATCAGCCATGATAATAGCTGTTTGAATTCTTTAAATGAAAAGGAAAGGAGCTTAATTGCTTCCTTGATAATCTTCTGTAGCATAGGATTCCCTGGAACAGCCTTTATGAAAGATGAGCAGAAATTATGACCCACAAGTCCAAATGTTGAAAGAATTGAACTTATTTAGTGCCTTTCTAGTCTCCAAACAATTTGAATTGCTTTACTGTACACTATATTTAAATTCTCCCTTTAAACACACCTTGAGTCAATGGTGACAGAGGCTGAGCCAAAATCCTCATCAGTTTTAACCTAATCCCCTTTACACATATTCAAATGCTATGCTCTCAGAAACCACATGTGGACAAGAGGCACCAGGGATTGAACCACAAATCTAACCGGCTATATCTCTGAGTAACAACTTCTTACTGGCATTCCCTCTTCTGAAAAATATAAGAAAATAGTAATTGGTTGAAATATTGGTATTTATTTTCTCTTTGAAATAATTTTATTGAACTTAATCCTGATTATAATGCTTTAACAAGTGGCACCTGCATTACCTAAATAGGGAAAATCAGTCTTTTTTTCAGGATGCCCACCCCTTTCAAAAGATTTTTCTCACTGAAGTTTTCAAATCTTGAGGAGTACTTGGTGTTCAGTTTTACTTGCTAATAACAGAGAACAGTTTATTTTGTAAGGCAGTGAGCCAATAATTGTTGTTTTTGCTGGAAATGATTTCATGACAATCATTATTCAATACATATGGTATAAATAATGTTAAACATAATTGGATTCTGCAAATGTATTCCTTTACATACTGTGGAATGCTTAGCTGAAACAAAGCATGCTCACCTCAGGTGACCTGATATGGACTTTCAAACGCCCAGAGTTGTGGCCTGCAGCATGATGGACCCCATTGTGGAGAGATGTGCTGCTGGAAAAAAGTCCTTTCCCTGGGATGAAGGCTATTTCCAATGCACTGTCTTGGCTGGAGACACAATACATGGAAATACAAAGGCAAAAGTTGGTACACACTGACATATATATATATATATAAACAGGTAAAGTGTTGAAAACTGACCAATTTCCTATGCAACTTGAGTACCCCTTGTTTTTAATTTAATTTCAATTTCCTATGTACACAACCTACCTGAATTTAACTTTGTTGAGCATGCTTTTGGCCTCCTCATGGGTAACACCTATCAATGATTCCTTGTTAATGGCAATAAGCTGATCTCCAGGCCTCAGACGTCCATCCTACAAAATAAGTAGACAACCTTTTCAATACAACAAGCACATAAATAGACATTAGTCCTAACCAAAGGCTGAAAAATGAGGCTATCCTTTAGTGATCATGACTTTAGTCCACTGATGATCACTGCTATTGTACTTAAGATTTACCATCTGATGACCAGCAACAAGGAGGCAATAGGTAATGTCGTCTTACTAAATCTGTTCTCTAAATACACCTCCTTCATATAACAAATATAGTATTGTGTAAAAGCGACAATATAGATTTAAAGGAGAGTTTTATCCATTAACGGTTCAAATACAAAATGCATAGCTTTAATATCTTCGTAGCTTAAGTAAACTGAACAACAAAGCAGAGTGCTAGTATTTTTTTATGAGACAGGTGATTAAGAGTTGGGATTTCAAGGAAAAGACAGCTTGCTTAAAGAGAACAGTGTCTGGCTGTTTTCAAAGAAATTGGCTTAGTGTAGGGATGTAGTAAGGCCAAACAACTGTGGCTATCCAATTTTGTTTAGAGGAATTTATTATACATAAAAAATATATCATCTGCTTTAAAACAGCTTTTTTCAAGAATAAAACATTTTTCACCACATATACAGCTGTAGTTTACATCTCATCTCCCTTTTCATATTGCTCACAGTTGACAGTTAGTAGACAGAGAGGTGAGGAGGACTAGTTTAAGGGAAAGAAAAGAAACACAAAGGTGGATAAACTAAAACTTATCCAACCTCCCTCCAGTTTTCTGAGCTCCTTACCCTATCTCTAAGGCCGAGTCCAGCGACCCCTCTGAGGAAACTCATTTAAGCCACATATAGCTACATCCATGTAGCTTTGCCTTCCGGCTCAGCCAGTCATCAACTCTCAACAGTTTCCATTTGTTATCAATTTGTACTATACAATTAAAGAATGATTGATTCATTGATTTTATTCTTCCCCTTAGTCTAAAAGTTAGTGAAGGATTTTTAAAGTATGATGGATTCCTTGCCAGGTTTAGCTCCTGGCATCTAAAGGTTGAACCTGACCTAACCTGGCAAACTTCACTATCACCACAATAAGAGTCTTGGCATGAGCCCCTATATGAATTGTTGTAATTGTATTCTCTAAAAATGTTCTTGGACAACATTCACAATCATTTACAGCAGGTCAGTAAACTCATTGTACATGTCAGTTGATGCAAGGCACATTTAGAATTCTACAATGTTTTCTGTTGAACATGAAAATCGTAAGTTGACCTCTTGTGCTCTTTTACCTACAACAGAAAAGTGAGTTTTTCTTCTGACATTATGCGGTTGCAATACCAAGAAATTTTTGACTTGTTCCTGTCAAGCAAATATGACTTTGTTTCTTATACTCTGGAGACACAGTTGACAAGGGCGCAGAGCTCATCCATCATGTTTACAGTACAAGCAACCTTATGATTAATGGAACATTTACCTTTTCCTCTCTCTCTTACTTCCACCAAAAAACATACAGTAGCATATTTTCTCTCATTCTCAGGCTAGAAGCCTGTCTTTGGGCAAGAAAATAACATTATGGATACAAAGCATATAAAAACTAGATGTTGTGTAATCGAGACTAGTTAGTGTACTGTTTTTTTCAAATTATCTCATGAAAACACCAAAACCAACAATGATCATGCCAAAAATATCAAAAGCTGACATATCAATCAATCATTCAACCAACCAACCAACCAATCAATCAACCAATCAATCAATCAATCAATCAACCAATCAATCAATCAATATTTATTTGTTATTCATATTACCAATTGATTACAAATGGTGACACTTAAAAAAAGAGCAAGTAAAATACTTACTCATCGTTATGTTAAATATTTAATTCTTCTTTTCCATAATACAAAATTGTATTTCAAAAAGTATAAATAAGCATCAAAGGAAACACGGTTACACTGTGTGACATGTTCCTTCATTGCGATGAAAATAAAAAACTGTAATTTATTTTAAAGTCAAACATACCAGTTCCTGTTTATATCACATATATCTCCTTCCATTTGAGTATTGTTTGCAAAAAATCGCAGCAATTTTTAAAGATCCTTACACTTGTATTCCACTCAAGACATTTACATAAGTAAGTAAGCACAATGGGTGGATTCGAATTGTCCCTCTTATCTCCTTTCACTAGTCACTTAACCCCGGGGAGAACGTCAAGAGGTTAAGGAAAGATGTAAGGAGAATTCATAAAGGACTTAGGGAAAGGCAATCATGTTGCTCTGACAATCTGACCACATTTCCACCAGGGGATGTAATTTTGTGACGGCTGAAGTTAATGATGTGGGTCTGCTGTGGTGAAACTACAATGTTCTGAAAATGGACTACTAAAAGTGCATCTAAAAAACTTTCCCCTGTGCCTTCTTACCAGTGAAATAATCGTAATTACCACAAGGTTGGAATTGAAATAAAAGGAATATAGACTACTATTATTGCAATGATAACTTACATGATCAGAGTCCCTTTTCGGTCATTGTTAGTTTTCTTTTCTTTTTTTTAAATTAACATTTTATATTACAATTTCTCATAGGAATAAACATCAAATAACAGCAAGGCATCTACACTAAACATTATACCAGAATGTAAAAGCAATGTTCACCTTCTTCTCCAACACAAAATTAAAAGAAAGAACAAAAATAAATACAAAGGCAGTAACAAATTATTAGTCTCCTCATTGCTCCTCCAACAGATCTCAGTCCATACCATAATAGTTACAGTCCATGGTTCATCGTTAGTTTTCATGAACGGTCGGATGAGCGAGTCGCTTTAAAGCAAGGAATTGTGGGGTGGCATTATCTCATCTCCTTTCGTAAAGGATGGTCCAGTGTATCCTAAAGGAGGTTATAAAGGAAGCATTGACGCATCTTTCCTTAGCTTTAAGAGAATTGGAATGACTCTCATCATGGCTGCCACTAAGATGCTTCCAGGTCATTTCACTCAGTTAGGAACCTTCCTAAACAAAAAAGACAATTCGAATGCACCCAGAGTCTCACACAAGCTAAGAACTGCAGGTGGTGTCCCTAAATCAAATGCAGTTTGTCTGTTTGTTTGTGCGTGTGTGTGTGTGTGTGTATGTGTGTGTGTGTGTGTGTGTGTGTGTGTGTGTGTGTGTGTGTGTGTGTGTGTGTGTGTGTGTGTGTGTGTGTGTGTGTGTGTGTGTGTGTGTCTGTCTGTGTGTGTGTGTGTGAGTGTCAGTGAGAGATTTGAGAGCAAGAGAAGGGTGATGCCTTAAGCAGTGTCATAGCATGATTGCTGAGCTTAACACTTAGTGTAATGTGTCCCTTCTCGGACTCCAGGCCATCTTTAACAGAGCACCACCAATAAACATTCCAGCAGTTTTTAGAATCCTTCAATCCAGCATGAATTCCTAAATATTCACCAGGATACAACAAGACTGTATAATATTACTGTAACTTCCTTTAGGGAGTCTTGTTGATACAGCAGATAACTAAAGAGATAAAGCTCAATGCACATTCTGTGTTGTAGGAGAACAAGAAAGGAGTTTTTGCATACTGTGATTTAGTTGTGCACTATTGATATTGTGAGTTACCTGGGATCAGCCTCGGAATTTGGACACCAGCTTACCAGATCTTTGTGTCAGGAAGGTGGGGATTGGGACTCAGGGGTGTCTCAAAGTTATCCCAGAAGGATGACCACAAAATCGCAAGCGATCGATTGGAAAGGGGGGAAAACAACAATATTGTATCGAGCCACAACAAGCTAAACTAAATAATGCACCGAAAATGTGATTAACTAAACCACCGCTGCCAAGCAGCTGACTCAGAACCAAAATTGCCCAGGAGACCCAGAAAACCCTAAAAGCAAAAGGCTGCCAGGGAGCCCTTTGTTAACACTTTTGTGTTTTTCTGGAGTTTTAACTACATCTTACTGAATTTTTAAATCACAATTCAAGAATGCTGCTGAAAATTCATTAATTTTTTAATTAGTTAAATTCAAAAAACTTAAAAACTTCCCTAGTTTCTTATGGAATTGAATATTTAAGTTTTCTCATAAGAAACCAACTGCATATCAAATATTTACATTCTTGACATATCCAAATATTTTAGTCTTCACAAAGTCTTGCTTACATTAAAGCCATTACTTAGTACAGAAAGCGTTTAAAAAATAGCCACAATTAACATTTAAATAAAATTGTATTTGTATAAAGCCTCAATTTGCGTGTTGACAGCTCTAAGAGCAAAATGGTGGGCATTAATTGCTTTAAATATTTCATGATACTCCAAGCCTTTAAACGTTCCATTTTAAACGCCAGCATCAACAGGCGATTTAGTCTTTCTAAAGATGCTGTTATGGTTTGGTCTTTTTCTAGTTTGGTTTTTCAGTGTTTAGTTTCATGATTTAGTTTATAGTTGTCCTCTTTGTTTCTTGTATTTCCTGTCTGTGTGATTGCCCTGGTTGTCCTCACCTGTGTCTTGTTAGTCTCACCTGTGTCTGATTCCCCTGTGTATTTAGTCTCTGTGTTTCTGCCCTTCCATGTCAGTTCATTGTTGCATGTATGTGGATGTGGTGGTATGTCGTTCCTTGGTCTGTCAGTGTTTACTCGTGCTTCTCTGTGGCTACCTGTTTTTTGATCCTTGTGTTTTTTGTTGAATCTTAGAAGTAGTTTTTGTTTGCCTTTTTGTTTATTAAAGACATTTAGTTCATTCTGCACTTGGGTCCAACTCTACTCGTTGTTTTACTCACCAAACCGTAACAGAATGAACTGACCAAGAATGGACCCAGCAGAAACGTTTGAGGAGATGGATTGTTTTTCGAGAGTGGATAATTTTCAGTACCTTTTTCATTTGTCCCAAAGGACTGCTAAGGCTGAGCAATCTCCTTGGACAGGCACCTGCTTGGCTATTTTTAATGGAACTTGTGGAGGCCTGAGAAGAAGGGCTGGAGGCCATGGGGCCTGTCGTCCTCTCCTTCCTCCACTGCCCAGCACCCCAGAGTCTCTGCCTCAACCCGAACCTCAGCCCAGGCCTCAGCCCAGGCCTCAGCCCAGGCATCAACTCCGGCCTCAGCTTCCTTGTGTTCCTGTCCCTGTACCTGTTCCCGCAGAGCGCCGCCTGCCACCAGTTCCGGCGGAGCGCCGTCTGCCCCCCGTTCCAGCTGAGCGCCGCCTGCCCCCTGTTCCGGCCGAGCGCCGTCTGACTCCTGTGTCTGCGTGGGAGGTTCTGCCCACTCCCCTGTCTCTGTGGGAGGCCCTGCCCGCTCCTAGGACTCCTGTGTCTCTGTGGGAGGTTCTGCCCACTCCTGTTTCCTGGTTGGAGGTCCTGCCCACTCTCGTGTCTCCGTGGGAGGCCCCGCCCACTCCCGTGTCACTGGTGCCGTGGGTTCATCTAGTCGGCCTTCCGGCCGCCCACCTGAACTGCTCCCTGGGTTTGGTCGGCCTCCTGGCCGTCCGCCTGAACTTTCCGGGCTATGTGCCCTGCCTCCAAGCCGTCCGCCTGAAGGTCCGGTTGTTTGCCTTTTTGTTTATTAAAGACGTTTAGTTCATTCTGCACTTGGGTCCACCTCTACTCGTTGTTTTATTCACCAAACCGTAACGGATGCAATTGTTTTGCTGCTAGATTTGTGAAACTGACCTTTGAGAAAACACAAAACAGCTTGTGCCAGACAATGTGATCAAAACCCAAGGTTAACCGTAAATATGTACACCTTCATAATGTGTGGTTCTATCGAAATTAGGTTGGGTTCATCTTAGCTGAATGTGGCCTGCCAGCAGGTTTCATCCGGCCCGTAAGAAGTTTTAGGGAGATGGGGGAATTTTTGTAACTCAGCAGATAATTAGGCTTTGTAATGTTGTTTATTTTCAATATTGTATTTACTTCTGTTAATCTGTCAATCAGAGTAGTGCAGATTCTGTTTTATTGAAAATGTCTAGCATACGGTTAGGCGACACCTGAAGAAGAGGGAGAGATAACAGGACCTCTGCACCAGGAGTATTACAGCTTTCGTCAGCTTCTTGGCTAGGTTCTTGAGATATTGTGCAAAACTCTTTGGATTCTCCTTGGCATAAGAGATGGCAAGCCAACCCTGAATCTGAGAAGAAAACCATAATTTTTTTCAACTCCAACACTTGAGTGTGGTAGGGCTGACTTTTTGATCTTTCAAACACAAGCGCTTCTCAACTGATGGACATAAACCTGAATAAATGCTAACTGACCTGACTTCACCACAAAAACATTTAAACTTTATAGGAAGAACTTTATGAACTCTAACTCTTAAAAAGTGAACTTTGCCAACTTAATATGTTCTAACTGTTGACACTGCTTCAACAGCACTGTTACATTGAATGCCTTTTATACTGAAGTTACATTTTAAGTAGCATTTTTTGTGCTGATTAAAAGGGAAATTTAAATGTTGTTTTCATTAAATATATCCTGTTATTATGTGTCTGTAAAATTACTCTTTCAACCCCACCTAAGAACCTAGACACTGGTCCATAACAAATTTAAGTATACTGCTACCCCAGGGGATATGTTTTGAAAAATATCTTTTTGAGATTTGTATAAAATAAAATACTTTAACTACCCAGTTGATATGTATAATTAGCAAAGGAAGACATTAATATGATGTTACAATAAATTCATTCATTATATCACGTTTTGAACAACAGGGAGTGACAGCATAAAAAATAACGAGTTGCTGCATTATCTTAGCTCAGCCAACATGCTGTCCAAAAGAGGGGGTTGTAAGGGAGTTTTAAGGGAGAGAGCAGCATTTATTTTGTCCCTTCTGCTCACAAGTTACTGAAATTATCTAGATATTTTCAGGAGTGGCTGCAGTTGCCTAACAGCATGGAGGTTACTGGTTGGAATCCCCCTAGGACAGGGCTGTGTGGACTTTGCATGTTGTCCTTATATATGCGTGGGTTCTCTCCGGGTACTCCGGTTTCCTCCCACAGTCCACAGACATGCTCTGTAGGTCAATTGGTGACTCTACATTGCCCGTAGGTGTGAATATGAGTGCAGCTGGTAGCTGTCTCTATATGTCAGCTCCACGATTGACTGGTAAACAGTCCCCACCTCCTAATGACAGCTGGGTTTGGAGTGCGTATGTGAAAATAGCTATAGGACCCTAAAAGTCAGAAATGGTTGTGTGCCTTTACATTTTTTGGGATTCGATGCTGGTTTAGCTAATTTGGTAGAGCACATGCCCCATTCGCAGAGGTTGTAGCCCTTATCAGACTAGTTGAGGATAGGCTCCTGAACCTGACACTGTTTGATGCATGTCACCCCCCACTCTTTCTCACCCCATTTCATGTCCCTCTTAAGTTGTTTCATCAAGTAAAGGCAAAAAGCCAAAAATAAATGTTTTGGATATTAATCTCCTTTTAATCTATATTGCAGCTTTTACAAAATACTATATCTGTTAAAGCCCTTAATAGTAGCATTACATTCCTGAATTTCCAACTTTACCATTAAAGAATTGCCAGTGCAAAAAAAAGTCACATGGTTTAGAAAACAAATTACTTTGCTACACTTTCATCTTTTCATCTCATTCAATAACTCTAGTTTTATGGTTTCAAATAACCTTGTCTGTTCTTACCCGATGACAGTCCCCCCCAGACAGCACCTCCTGGATGAAGATTGCTGGGCCATCAGGCTTGTTGGAGCCTCCTCCGATAGTGATGCCAAAACTGCTTGATCGCGAAACTGAAATTAGTTGAATCACGCCTTCACCAGGATGACTGTGAACACAAGGAAAACATAACACTTCATTGAGAGTAAAAGAAGAGAGTTTAATTTAAATCAAAGGTAGCACTGTAATGTGCTCTGTGTCAGAGATGTTAAGGAAGTGAAAGCCTTTCAGTGCTTTTGTAGCTAGGGATACAAAGGCACAAGGGTACAAGTCAGTATTTTTTACATGTCTTTGGCAAAACTGTTATAACTATTAATAATCACATGAACCATGACATTTATAAATCTGTCAGTATTAACTTACAACAGATACATCTGTTTGGGTGTTTATTAGCTGCTTAACTACAGGAGATAGTGGTGCACAAATCAAAAAGATACATTTAAGGTAATTTTCAAACTGTTTCCCATACATATATAGTTATATATAGTTATCTACCAGAAAGCACTGACAAGTCTGCATAGTGTCATTTGGTCATGATTTTTATATTCTTCAAAATTACATTTTAGGAAACTTCACAAACATTTTCTATACAAATAATCAAGTATACGTCAGGGATTAGACCAGGGATCATGGGTAAACCATATGCTTTGCTTGTTGACCTTCTCTTATCAGGCCAGTTCAAAGTCAAAGTCAAAGTCAAAGTCAACTTTATTGTCAATTTCAAAATATGCCAAACATACAGTGGAATCGAAATAGCGTTTGTCTCCGTCCCGCGGTGCAATACAACCAAAATAAGGTAAAATAAGATAAGGTAAAATAGATAAAATAAAATGAGGTAAAAATAAGATAAATAATATTTACAGTAATAAATTCTAAATTGTGCAAAAGATACAAAATGGTAAATAAAATAAATAAAATAAAATTTAAAGAAAAAGTAAACTTGTGCAATATGTGCAATGTGCAGTAAAGTGAATGTACTTTTGAATAGTTAGCTTCAGAGTTATTAGTCCAGAGTTCTGTAGAGAGTTAAGCTTCCTGACAGTTTGGTGGAAGAAGCTGTTTCCCAGTCTGGTGCAACCGGCCTGCAGGCTGCGGTACCGTCTCCCCGATGGCAGGAGGCTGAAGAAGCTGTGTGAGGGGTGCGTGGGGTCACGCACAATGCTGGTTGCTTTGCGGGTGAGGCGGGTACCGTAGAGGTCCAGAAGAGAGGGGAGTGGGACACCGAGAATCCGTTCAGCAGCCTTCACTGTGCGCTGCAGGGTCTTGCGGTTGGCAGCAGTGCAGCTCCCAAGCCACACAGTGATGCAGCTGGTCAGGATGCTCTCGATGGTGCCTCTGTAGAAGGAGCACATGATGGATGGGGGGGCTCGTGCTCTCTTCAGCTTGCGGAGGAAGTACAGGCGCTGCTGGGACTTCTTGGCCAGTGATGTGGTGTTGGTTGTCCAGGAGAGATCCTCACTGATGTGAACCCCCAGGAACTTGGTGCTGGTGGATTTAATGTGGGCCATGACTAACCTTGCAAAGCACTTCATGGCGATGGGGGTCAGTGCAACGGGTCGATAGTCATTGAAAGTGGATGGTGAGGGCTTCTTTGGAACGGGTATGATGGTGGTGGCTTTGAAGCACGACGGAACAACAGCCTGACTCAGAGAAGCGTTGAAAATGTCTGTGAAGACATCTTTGAGCTCCTCTGCACAGTCCTTCAGCACACGGCCAGGAATGTTGTCTGGACCTGCAGCCTTGCGGGTGTTGATCTTGGAGAAGGTTCTCTTCACGCTGGCTGCAGTCAGGCACAGGGTCTGGTCGTGGGGAGGGGGGGGTGGTCTTCTGTGGGGGCGTGCTGTTGTGTGCTTCAAACCTGGCAAAGAAGCTGTTGAGGTTGTTCAGCAGAGAGGTGTTGCTGTCACAGGTCTGTGGCTTGGGTTTGTAGTCCGTGATGGACTGGATACCACGCCACAGGCTCCGCTGCTGTCCTCAGTGTCCGGTTATTTTTAGTGTGTAGCTGTGTTTGGCTTCCCTGATGCCACGGGACAGGTTGGCCCTCGCAGTTCTCAGGCAGGCTGCGTCCCCAGCTCTGAAGGTGGTGTTCCTGGCCCTCAGTAGCCCACGTACCTCTCCTGTCAGCCATGGCTTCTGGTTAGCCCGGGTGGTGATGATTCTGGTGGTGGTGACATCAGCAATGCATTTGCTAATGTAGGAGGTAACAGTGTCAGAATACTCCTCAATGTCTGTGTGGTTGTCGTAGGTGGCTGCCTGCTTAAACATCTCCCAGTCTGTGGTGTCAAAGCAGTCTTGTAGTGCAGCAGAGGCCCCCTCTGGCCACACACATACCTGCTTCAGAACTGGTTTGGTGACTTTAACCCTGGGTCTGTAAGCTGGCATTAGCATTACACTGATATGGTCAGAGTGGCTGATGTGGGGGAGGGGTGAAGCTTTGTAAGCACCTTTAACTGATGTGTAAATCATGTCCAGGATGTTACCTTCTCTTGTGGGAAAGGTCACGTGTTGGTGGAAGTGGGGTAAAACCGTCTTGAGATTTGCATGGTTAAAATCCCCAGCGATGATGAAAAATCCGTCTGGGTGGGCTGTCTGTTTCTCACTGATGGCGTTGTAAAGTTCCCAAAGTGTGTCGATTCTATCAGCATTGTTGGTGGTGGGGGGAATATCTCTCTTATTTCTCTCGGTTGATAGAAAGGACGGCACTTTACGATCATAAACTCCGCCAGCGGTGAACAGTGTTTACATACCACAGCAGCATCTCAACATCAAGCATCACTGATGTAAACCAGCACTAATAGCCACATGCAAGTGAGTGTGAAATTCGTTTTAACTCCAGTAAGTTGTGTGCACAAGTATTTTAAATGGCTGAATGGCCCAGTCTCAATGATTTGATGTGTAAATAAAGACTGAAAATTACAGTTTGAAATGACTTTTTCTAGATAGGGGTTAAATTGGACCAAGCACATGGGAGAGTTTTTCAGATTTGCTGAGTCTGGTCTGGAGCTGTAATGCAGGATGTTGAAATGTTAGTATAACAGGACATGTGGCTTATACTGGTTTTCTAAGCTAAGAAAAACAGAGTCCGGGGAGAAGGCCCTGTTTAAGATGATGAAACTTGTATACATCTGTATAATGTTGGCTACACAATAAACTTAATAAGGAGCTTTCCTCAGCCTTATTATAAATTAGGGAATGGAATCGGGCAACATGTGAGATCAGCCCTGAAGGAGATATTGAGAGTGTCTAGTGCACGTAACAAAGGACATATTTCACTTAGCTGTAAAATTTAACATAAATTTAACTACACCTTATAAAACTGGCACATTATCTTTCATAACGAGGACCTTAACAAGGGGCAGCTGGCTGTTGTTGCACAACTCACTGACTGTTTTCACATGGCTATGGCCGTTATCATTTTTATTTTATATAATTTTGACCCCCATCCCCATTAAGACAGGCAAATCAGTAGTTGATTTGAAAACTGTACATACATATTTTTACCTAAGAGAACGTAGCATGGGCCCACTACTGTTGGTCATGTTCTGAGAGCCTGCTGGGCTCAACAGCAAAGGACTCTGGGAGCGGGATGAGGAACCAGATGATGTACTATCCAGGTATCGGCCTCCTTTAGAATGACAAAAGACAACAAAAAACACAAAATGGAGAACAAGTTAATTTAGTGAACTTGCTTTGTTCTAAATAGTATACTGAACAACTGAAAATTGAAAGAGAAATATGACATTTCCTGATTACGTTTTTTTTTATGAGTTTGTAAGATGGTGGTAGTAACTCAGACTGTATAAAACATGGACGTAGTCTAAGTTACGTCACCCATTGGTTACTGAAGTGCAGTTTTAAAACAAACAGGGGCTGACGCCAAACTAAAATGCTTCCTTATCTTCAATTAAAATGACTGTAGTTATAAAGACATGCGCTGCTGAGACCCAATTCATTTTTAGTCCAGTGGTAAACATGTCAAATTGGGCATTTTAAGTGGGACTTCCTGGGCTAATGGTCAGCCTCAAGAAGACACACAACAAAGTGCAGTTTTTTGCACTTTATTTTTTAAAGCAGGTTGCCGCTTGGGTGGTAAGTAAAGGGGAGTGGGTCTCTTGTTGTCTCTGCTGCATAGACTGAATGATGAAGGGAATGACCTTATCATATTTGAGACATACTGTCCTGAACTAGAAGTCAAAAGCTATTTTCTGCTGCTACAGATAGTGATCAAGGGAGGCCTTCCACTGAAAAACCTGTATATTTCAGGTAAACATTTCTTAAGGCTGTTTAACTCTAAGCACTGTATAATCCCCCGTAACATACTCCCATATCTGTAAAACTAACCACATGACTGCGATACAAGTCCTGTGATTTTATGTCTGCTGGTGTTTATGTTGCAGCTGTGGTTCAGTGGTTGAGTCGGTCGTCTCTCAACTGGAAGGTCAGGGGCTCGATCCCCAGCTCCTGCAACAATAGTTTGGCTGTAAACTTTACAAAGTCTAAACATAAACACAAACCAAAAAGCAACTGTGATGGAAGTGAGGAGGGATGATAGAAAAGGCAGCATGACATCCAACAACATTTGGAAGGGCTGCATTGTTATATTCTTCAGTGATGACTGTTGGACTGTTAATGAAGTTTGAAAAGCGACTTTTGAACAAGTTCACCTTCTGATGTCAAATGTGATTAGCTCTAACACTCTAACACTAGAAAAAAAATCATCATCATCATCATCATCACAGCCCACTTCCAAGAAACCCAAATACAGTCCAGTCTTCTTTTTTATATCCACTAGTGTTAACAGTTGCTTCCTCCTGTCAAATGTTTTGTAGGCAGTTGTCATTAGGGCTCTTCATTAATATTATTCTTATTATCTTGCTTCTGAGTTCAAAAGGAAAAGCAAGGCACAAGAAAAATATTGTCGAAGTTAGCAGAATATGAAACTTATTAGGTCTGGGAAGTCAAGATTTTCAAAAGACTTTTAGAGTCTTTAAAATTGTTCTCAAGTCCAGTGAAATTAATTAACCAAGTTAGGGAACCCCAGTGGAAGTAACACTGCTTGAGTCATCATTCATGGCATATTTTGAACTTTCCTTTTTTTTCTTTTGTTGAAAGACAACATACAAATACACCTTATCTTTTTGCCATCAGATAAGGACAGGGCTTTGGCTGTACATTTTCAAAACCAATAATCCATCTGACCTTCAATTCCTCTTCATGCCATAATTGGACAGCTGCAGGGAGGTGAGAAATAAGCCAGAACTTCTCTCTTAAACTTTTTTTTTTTATCTGAGCTGGCCTGAAAATGTGCAGTGTTATATACATAATAAAAAAAATGCAACAATTTAGATAGATAGATTTCATTCTATCATCTCTATACCTCAACCACATAGTTAAATTACACAATGTAGAAACAATTTATTTTCAATATCAGCCCATGCAGTAATCTCAATATATTTTTCCATTCCTCGTATGTGTTGCAACTCTGCCAGTTCAAGAGTGTTAACAAGACCTTTGCTTTGGATTAACAGAAGGGCCCTAATTTCATGTATCCTCATCAAAGGGGCGATCTGCAATGGTATTAACACCATCCCCTGCACAGAGCATAGAAGGACTCACGTGCTGAAGCAATATTCAACTCTCTACCAGCCTACTACCTTCATCCCAACTGAAACAGATGTTTGAAAATGTGTAATGGATGAGTGCGCTTGTCATGCTCCATTTTTAAAGGCAGACTAACTCTGTTTACCCTTTAGGCTTAGTCTGTCAAATACAGAGACGTTTGTGGCTTTTAAAGATAGAAGACAGTTCTGGTGTTGTGTGTTTTTAAAAATTGCAATGCTTTGTTTGATTGGCATGTGAACACATTTAGCATGTTCAGTTTTTGCCAAAAGGCATAGGCAGAAACAGAGGGTGCTATCACTTGTGATATGATCAAGTACTGATGAATATGAAGAATTTCATCAGCACAGGGATTACTCATAACTTGCAGTAACCACAAGCAGGGAAGGCCATCATCAGGAGGTCCTATAGTCTTATAGTTGACTGATGGAAGACAGGCTGGAGGAGGTGTTTAACAGGAAGAGAGTCAAGTACAAGGGGCTGGTGGGAAAGTGCAAAAGCAGGGGATGAAGAGCGTGATTTTTCTGGAGGGTACTCAAGCTCTCTGGGATTTCAAAACTATGAAGTAGGAACTCCCTCAGTGAAAAAACACTATTTTTGAAGAGATGAAAGTGAAGAGATGGATGTCAAACAAGCCATACTATCCATAAATGAACTATCTGCTTGGACACATGTCAAGCAACCCTGGCTGAGCAGCCAGAATGAGATGGCCCAAAACAGGGGATGGCCCAAAACAGGGGATGGCCCAAGTGAATATCCGTAATTAATTTTCCATAAATTTTATGTATGCTAGGCCATTCACACACATGTATATAAGCAAGAGATCTGACCACATCAATTCATACTGCTGCTTGGAAAAAGAATGTTTAATATATTGTACAAAGGATGAAGCAGGGATTTACCTACCTTGCTGGATTGGAGAGTTGCGTGTCGATCCTGTGCTACCATTAGATCCATACTTCTCCAGCAACTCAGAAAATTCTCTCCTACCAAGAGGGAAACATTATTGGCATCGAAGATTGCCAGTCATGGACTACAGGTAAAGATATACTCATTTGCTATATTGACTGTGACATTGTCTAAGCCAGAAATTACCAGAAATGTACACTTACCAGTATGACCTTTTCGATAATAATGTATTTTTTTTTACTAAAAGGTAAATTATTCATTAAAATAAAACACATGGGTAGACTTCAGACTGTTTTCCAACTACAGTCAATGTCTAATGTCTAAGAACCTGAAAGGCCAGTTTGAGTCCAGCAATTGAAAAACTATGTCATAAAAAAAGGCAAATTTTTAAAGCATAATAAAGAAATCAATTCATTTTCATGTGAGCTATCAATAACCAAAGACCTGAATATGAGTATGAACCCTATGCTTTGTGTGCTCTTAAATGCTTGAATACTTGACCACAGGGTGGTCAATAAAACGCCAAACTTCCTCAACTGGTTTTCTGAGTTAATAGAAGAGGTGTGCTTCGGCACGGCACAGTTGGTAATGCACGAGCACAAGCACAGGTACACAACGTGGACATGAAGTAGGCTATAATCAATCTCAACCTTCAATATCCCGGAGGGTTAAGGCTGTATCTGACTAAAATGACTCAAAATAAGACACAAAGTCTGTAAAGTTTCAATCATATTCTCTGTGTTGTTCTTCGATGGATGTCCATTTTATTTATTTATTTTTCTTTGTTTGCCTGTCTTGTAAACTATGCTGCAAGCTCCATGATCACGTAAAGCCATGCATGTGTTATGATGTTATAAACAAGAGGTAAGTCTTGGAACAATCTGAGTGCAGGCTAGAGGTGGGAGGGTGGGAGTAATTGTGCTTCAGCACGGTAAGGGCAACTGGGTTTAGTGTGAGTGTGCCCTTAGAGTGTCCTTAAAAAAAAGGCTTTGCAAACATATCAGAAAATAGCTACTAAAAACATTCAAAACAAATGTCATATCTTCATGTCATAAAGTAAAACATTCAGCTGAAAAGTTCTAGCATCAGTTGAAATGTATCTTGTGAAACCACTATAATGGTAAATGAGTATTCTAAACACCAGTTTTCCCTAAATTATTTTTTTTTACCTTTGTTGGTTAGGGAATGTGCTTAAATAATAAGTTGCAAATGACAAAATGGTTTTATGAAGTGATTTAGTCTGGACTGTTTTTCTAGGCTCTTACCAGTTAGTAAGCATGTATTTGTTTTGACTTGGTTTTAAGAAAGGAGGGAGTCTGTTTGATGTGAGACACAAACAGACAGGCATAATCTCCCTCCTCTTCCTGCCATCCACCTCCTCTGATCTTGGCTGCACAGCTAAAGCAGAGAGCAGAGATTAACACGACTCATCTCGTCAGGAGCCCTTCCCTAGGTTAAGCTCCTCTCTCTCTGTCCGCTCTCATTCCAATACTGTGGGGGGGTGCATCCATGCTTCCCGACCACTGACAACACTGCCTCTATTAAACCATGAAGGAGGTAAATATACATTTTTTTTTAATACCTGGCCAAAGTACACTAACCTGATTATTCTTTCACAAATCACACCATGTACGCATGTATTTAGTAAAACATTATAACTTCTAACATTTTGACTCATATCCTCTCAAACAGCTAAGATGTTAATCCAGTCTGCGTCAAAGTCTCTTCACTTAGGATTTCTTTTACTGGCTTACATGTTCCGATGAGATGGTCCTGCCAGTTTAATTATGCAAATCCAATTCTAACTTTGTCAACTGACAATTAAAGATTGTGCTACTGGGATTACGTTTGATGGAAAACTGAGGGTTATGATGTTGGCAGCTGGCAGTGACCTTTATTCAACATAACTGGTTCCAGTAAAAGTAGACACCTGTTGAAAACTAAAACATTGATGAAGCAGAGAGTGATTTTGTGGCACAACCTCCCAAACTGGATGCATCAGTCTTATTATTTAATAAAGATCAATTAAGTTGATCTTCATACTACAAGTGTTGCTTGGTACAGTTTGACCTCTTGAATACTAAAACACAACATGCTCTGCCACTGTTAAGGCCTTGGTCACAAAGTCACTTCTAGTGTACATGTGTTGTATCCCAATTTTCTTTTTTTATTGATTGTTGCCTTGTGCTAACATCAATCATTTCTTTATCATGTAATTTGATGCTTTATCATTTTTGTGCTAGCAAGTAAGTTAAAAAGAACAGCTTTTGAGAATCTGTGTAATCTTCAAACATTGAACAGTTGTTTAAAAAAATAATTTCTGAATTGATTCAGGTTTGAAAAATCCCATCTTTTTTTCAACCAGGATGGTTTAATAGCTCTAACTTTGGTACTTGTTCCAAAGCTAAATTGGATTTGATCACCCTGATCCAGTTATCCAAACTTTTTTAAGATGATGATCTGCATAAAATGTGACCAAAAAATATAATGTTTTTTTTTCATTCATTTGATATTGGTTACACGACAGGTCTGAGTGTTTAAAAGGCAAATACAGACATGTTTGTAATTCATTATGGTTCATTATTTCCCACTGAAAACAAAAGCTCTATACGATATGATGACATTTAGTCCCATTTACAGAATTTCAAAACAAATCAGGTTGATCCAATTCAAATGTTGCTCTCACAAAGTCACTCAGACGTAAAATGGATTAGCTGAGCCTGGATAGCAAATAATGTTTTTTTTATGTCTGGAGAATTCACATCCCAAATCAACTTTTATACAGACTATTCTCTTACTTTGCTTCCTCATCTCTGGCTATGAGAAGGCGCATATGATTTGTTGCTGAGGCTGCTCTCAGGACGTCCACGGCTCTGAAGAACAAACACACGACACAAATCAATAATCAATTTGAATGCATAACCGGTGTAAATCTTGTAGGTAAATGAAAGACATGAGTAATAGGAATGTTCTACCTTTCACTTGTGACTCCAACCAAACTGTCTCCATTGACCTCCAATATTTGGTCCCCTGGCATGAGGTTTCCTGTAAGGGTAAGAAAAGGTCTAGTTATCCTTAGGGTATCAGCTACTATACAACACTATAAGAACGTATTTTAAACTACATTAGGCACATTGGAAGACAATTGGACAAAAGTGATACACTTTTCTTTCAGATTAAAGTTTTGGGAAGGTTTTATTCCAGGACAAACGCATTTCATTCAAAACATATAACACAGCTTCCAAAACAAAATCTATAACAATCGGATAAATAAAGTATGCTGTTCTACCCCCTGACCAAGGTAGCAGGCTAATTCATACAAAATCACAAATATTTTAAAACATAAACAACATTGAGAATTCACCAAACTTAACAAAAGGTATTCAAATACAAAGTTTAAGGAAAACAATTGTATCATTGTCTAGTTCTTCCTCAAGTATAGCAGCAATACACATTGTTAGCATTATATTCCTTGACTGTATATCCATCCACCACAATAGACAGTCATGGATAGCTTAGATGCATGGAGGGCCGCCCCCCTAATATAATGGTAGGGGAAACACTGGAACACTTACCCTTCCTAAAGATCCAATAAAAACTGTTTTCCCCTTGGTTTCTGAACTTATCTTGTGCTGCATTCAATGCCCATAGCCCCTAACATCCTATTACAAAGATCTGAACATTTAATTGGCATTACAGGAACCTCACTAAGCTGTCTTAAGTCCTATTTGTTAAATCGATCTCAGTTTGTACATGTTAGTAACGAATCCCCATGCACTGCCAAAGTCATTCATGGCATAAAGTTAGGAGATGTCTATCAAATTGGCATATGGTGATGACCAGAAACACTATGGCAGCTGCAAATTTTATGGAATTAACCGAAACCATAAAATACAAAAATTGTGACTCCAGTTTGGCAGCTCAATTCAGCCACTCCAGTTGTGAACCAGGTGGTAACAGTCCAACCCACTATGCTTCTATCCACTGTGACTGACTCTTCAGCTGACAGCACTGTCAGTAGCCTGGCAGAAAAGGCATTCAGTGATGGGCTTGGATTTTTTGTCCGAGAATGAGCAGCACACACACTTTAACTTCCTCTGACCCTGGGGTCATCGTTGATGAAAAAAGACATTTCATGGTAGGTATTACATGTTCTTTAGTGTGAACAATAAGGATTAATTGAATGATGAGTGGGTTACCTGAAGTCAAACTATTAACTCTTTTGCACTCTGTGCTCTGATTGTTTCTATAGCCATATAGAAACAAGAAACTCCATCAACTTTTATTGTCATGCAGATGATAGTGATAACAAGTAATAACTACACATTAAGCCAGACAAAGCCGTTCAGTTAGCTGACATTTAAATATGCCTAAGGGACTTGAAACCTGGAAGAGCTATAGACATTGAAGTTAGCTTGATTGGGCCTCAATTTCTGAGAAGCATTGTCTGATAATGCATCAATAGACAAAAAGCTGAGCAAAAAGCATTGACACAGTCAATACCTGTATACCTTTAGGCCTTTGCCTTTATTTGACAGTGTAGCTGAAAATAGTTTAGAAACATGGAGAGACTGGGGAGGATGACATGTACAAAAAGGCCAAGGGTCTTCATAAATTGTTTACTGCTCTAGAGAATGATAGTGGAGCAGAGCGTTTAGCCATCAGGCATCACAAGCTAGGGTTTTCAGGAGGGGCGCTGAATTTATATTTTAAAAGTTTGAGTTTCTAAAAGTTAACTGTCTTATGGGTCTACTATGTTCCTGAAACACTTACAGATGACCAGAATGTGGTCTTTTGAAATACAAGCAAGCTTTCTCTTTTATAATGAGTTATTGGGTGACCCCGCATTTACTGGTGACTGTTTTTTTTGGATGTTTCTTTGGATGTCACTGGATTCTGCTTAGAAGAACAGCAGAAAGAAGTGAAAACTGAAAGATCACTACCATAGCGTTGCATCATTTGGATTGACCTGAAATTTGTGGCCTGTATTTTTCATTAATGGCCTAGAGAGAGTGGACCACAACACTACTGTGGTGTGTTATATTCATGTTTTCAAAAGACATAAAAAAAACCCTGTTCTGTCACTTCAGAGGCCACCAGTACACATATATTATATATATTTCAGTAGCTAAGACTCTCATCAGTTGTCCTCCTTAACTTTTCCTTCACACAAATCTCAATATCTTCTCTTAAGACAGACATGTGGGGCATGTCAACTAAAGATTCCCAAGCCTTTTTAAGACACTAGACAGTCAAATTGCATTTGTCTTATGCACTACAGGTGTAGAGATTGAACACTTTTGGCCTTTTTTCTGGGCATTTTTTCCTGGTGCACCTTTGGTGTGGTCTTGGTGTGGGAGGACATGGTTTCCGGGGCGCTGGAGCTTTCTGCACACACACCCAATCCTCATCATTGATCACCTGCTGCTGCATTTACACCCTGGTTCTCATCGTCCACGTAGCTATTGTTTGCACCTTCTCAGTAGTATGAGGGCCCACTTTTCTACTGTCTAACCTACTGGTAAAAACATATCTGTGCTTTTGTGTGCATCTTTTCAGTTTTTTTCCTGTGACTAATTCTCTATGTCTTCTCGTTATTTCCAGTGCCTCCTGCAGATGAGCTCCAGCGCTTCACCACCCAGCCTCTCACTGTAAGCCTCATTCCCTTGATTCATTATCACTGGAGCCTCAAGCCTCCCAGCACTCTCACCCTCCTTTCCCCTACTATGGAGCCTCTCCCTTAAGCCTACCAGTTCCTCTTGCTGCCTCTATAATAAAAAAATATATATATTTTTATCCATTTTCCCTGTTTCCTAGACTCAATTTTTGGATCCACTTAAACCCTTTAAAAACTGCAACAAAAGGACTACAAACTGGTTTTCTATCTCAATCAATCAGTCTTGAATTGTATAGCACCAATTCATAACCATGGCAGCTAATACGGTCAAGTGAATAAAATATATGGAACTCACTACTGTGCATTTAGTAATCAGCAAGGAAGATCATTAAAATCAGACAGACATTATAATTCATTAAAATGTCATTTTAACTGCACAAAATCTTGAAAAAAACAAACTCAAGATTTAGGCCACTTCTGCCCCCTTTCTGTAGTAGTTAGAAGGACTTAAGATAGTTTAACGCTTTTCTAGTCTTCTGACTACTCAAAGCACTTTTACACTGCATGTCACACCTACCCACTCACACACTGATGGCAGAGGCTGCAATGTAAAGTGACCATCAGAAGTAACTAATCCGATCCATACAAACTCAGCAACTTGGGGTTATGTATCTTATCCACACATCGGACATGTGGCTACAGCAGCTGGAGGATCGATCCCCCGACCTTCCAGTTAAGGGACGACCAACTTTACCAACTGAGCCACAGCCGTCAGCCTATACACTTATTTAAGATAAAGAAGTTTCTTACCATCACTTGAAGCAACGCCACCTGGTAAAATTCGTTTGACGTAGACTCCAAACTCCTCTCCAGTTAACTCCTTTACTCCACCAATCACTTTAATTCCTGTTGGAATAAAAAGATATGAACAGATTAGTAGCTGCAATTACTGTACATGCACCCTTTTTTCATTCTGATTGAATTCAACAACAATAGACATTCATTCCATTTCCCTTATAAATGCTTATAATATATTAAAAAGCCTGAAACTGCTGGTGTGCCAAAAGGCCTTTTTTAAATATATTTTAAATATCTATGGCGAAGCTTCACTGTGATTGATTTGTTTGATTGTTCAAACACAGCAGGATAAGATTGTTCCTCAAAAAAACCTTACTAAAACTGGGTCAGTTAGGGACACACTAGCAGATTACCAACAAACAAACTTCTGCCTGCATAATGACACTGGAAATTATTTGTAAACAACACAAGCACAAGCTGTGATGTGACACTCCTTGAGCAAACCAGTTAAAATTAGGACATCATGTAAAGAGGGCTAAATCATATTGGCAAAAAAAATTACATTGCTATATGTTTTCTTTCTGTGAAAGATTTTGGGATTACATTTTTTTAAAGGAAATTGCCTCACACAACACTTCACTTAAGTGCTGCAGTTGTAGCCACTAAAAGTAAGCAATACGCAGCACATCGTTAACAGTTCGTTTGTGTGGCCACAGCCGTTAATGGGACTAGGTGCTGATGAATATATTCTTTAAAAATCTGTCATTGAGTGTCTGCCTCGAGCGAAACATTTTAAGTTCTGATTCAGTTGAAAGCTTAAGAGAAGCAATGAAGAGCAATTATTCAAAATGTTCTACATTATCCAGTTGATCGAAGACCATATAAAGCAAGAGAATAAAAAGCAGCATCAAAAAGAAAAACACACAACAGTGATCAAGCTTAATTAAGTTCAATGCAGTAGTGTATAGGATGATACACAAGTGTAATTTGTCATCAAAGTCTCCTTTCTCTGGGTGCAGGTAGCCTAGTGGTTAGTGTGTGGAGCCTGAAGTCCCCCAAGCAGGCGGCGTAGGCTCAAATCCAACCTGTGGCTCCTTTCCTGCATGTCTGTCCCAACTCTCTCTCTCCCTGTCCAACTCTACAGTCCAATCTCTAAATAAAAGCATGAAAAGACCCCCAAAAAATAAACCTTTAAAAAGTGTATTTTCTCAAAATATAAAGGGAATCAGAACCAGGAGTTATTATTTAATGTGTAGTCAAATAAAAAGATAGTTAGTTAGAACTATCATTAAAACAGGTTGGGAAGCCACCAAATGCTACTGTTTGAGCAAGCAAGCATTCCTTTCTGCCTTTCATGTGTGAGAAGTTACTAGAAATGTTGTTATTGTTACTTTCACACTTCAGGGTTGGTGAACTCATAAAGGACCACATGCAAATTGCAATGCATAAATGACTAGCTTGGCGCAGATGGGGTTTTAAATATTGTGACCTTATGGAAGTGAGGTCATTCAAAAGAAGATGCTATTTTATTGTTTGCTGTCAAATTAAGAGGGAATTAAGGGCAACATCATTGCAGTCAGCGGCCTCAAAGCAGACTTGGACCAAGCTAGTTCAATGACATACCGCAATGAAACCACATCTTCCTTACAGTTGATGCATATCGAAAAAACTGAGCACAGCCTCTACGTACTGATAGTCCCTGACACACAAGTGTTCCATCACTGAACTTAAAGTGATAAAACTGAAATGGCCTAGCTGAATTCTAATAATTAGACCAGAGCTTCTTCAGCTTCAGGCTGCCAACACAAAGACAAAATGGATACACTGATCTAGGCTGAAGAAAAGTGGTGCATGTTAATTATCGCCTGTTGGAAGAATAGGGTTATAAAATTCCCTATCTCAGTCCTCCCTTCCTTCTTACACTTCTCTGAGGAAACAGTCTTGTTCTTTTGTTCATTCTCACGGCACTCTCCTCCCATGGCATCTCATCAGATGAAAAAAACATCATGCATGAGCAGTAAGAGTGAATATAAAAGGCATGTGTCTCCCTCATGTTCAGCCTGACATCTTTCTCCCAAAAATATTATTTCTGCAAGGGCCTGTTTGCAATTAAATGCTCTTACACTTAACACTTTGAGAAAAAAAAGAAATCATAAAATTCCAATTAAACATTTATCTTGGATAACACAGTGCCATTTGTAACATCAAAGAAAACCTGCTGTGAAACACATGATGAGGTATTTCATGTTTAATCAGCTGCATTAACATAGAGAACAGCATGTGCTTTCCTTAGCATATGGGCTGCAGGAGTGTGTGCTATACAGTGTGAAAAGAAGACATTTCTCTGACTACTGTCAGCAGATATACACAGACACCTGTCTTTAGACTTTATGCATTGGAACAGTTTGTACACTTGCACATAATCATACTGAACGACAATAAGCAGCTTTGCTTGTCACCTGTATGCTGCTTTAAGTACTGTACATGAAACACACGCTTGCACACGCCTTTAGTGTTCCCTCCACTTAAAGTGTGATTATGTTAGTACCACTGGCATTTGTGGTACAACAGAGAACAGAAGCCAGCTAGTCCATGAGAAAGTCCAGTGCTTTCCCAACACAGCAGCAAACATCCACAATATGCTCCTCCAGATGATGTCAGCTTTATTTCGGCTGATGAGTGAAAAAGGGGATCAGACTCTGTCAAACTAAATATGTTGGTTGAAGGCTAGATTTAAGCTCAATACCGATTTTTACTCAATTTTTCTCTAGAATAGCTTTTATGGTAGACTGTATAATACATACAGTGCTCCCAACATTTAGCTGGCAGTTGTTTTTAAGGCCAGTTGTCTGGCTACATGTGATTAATTTGAGTTTTGGTGTTGTATAGGTAGCGTTTAGTGTGATGGCTTTCTCTCTCTTTTTTCTCTCACCCTCTCTCTCTCTGTCTGCTCGCACAGTGACTATGTTCACATAAGCGCTTGTTGAAACATAGAAGAAAAGGTGTCCTGCATGTGCTGGAGTGGTTCTTGTGTGGAAATATAATCCTGCCTGTGCCACTGACTGACTGCATTTATTTATTACTGCTACACTAAGTGCTTAACATGTGCCTTGCATTGACAGAGTGAGCTGCCATGCAATATATACTGGTCTATTTTAAGGAAGGAAGAATTAGATTTTTTTATAAAACAACCTTTTTAATGGGAACTTTATATATCACAGAAAACTATGAAAAGAAAACTGTGATGTGGGCTATATCATTTTGCAGTTCTGGCTGGCTGGCAAACATACTTAAAAAGCATATTTAAATGTAGATTCATTATAGGAGAAGTAGAATGACGGCCGTTGGATTATGTACAGATTACAAAACAAACATAATAAAATAAAAAATATTTTTTAAACTTCCTTGACACATTTGCAATGAGCTACAGTTTAGTTTAGATTAGATTTAGATTATATAGATTTATAAATGTATTATCAATTGTGTAAAGCACCTGTACTTAACAGAATATTTTAGGGATTGTATTGTGTTTATGTTTATCAGTTGTTTGTCCTTATATACGCACAAACCCCACTAGTGTTGTGTGGAAGTGAAGTTCAGATAATAACAACAGCAGCTCCCTGTATTCTTAACCCAGCCGAGTTAAGTGGGTTAGGGCTTTGCAACATGACCTACTTCCACACCCAGGCAAACAGACAAGCATAAATACTCTGCAGAGACGGCCTGTTCAAGTTAGGATTTAAATCCTTTCAGCTATGGTAATATACCTTTGGTATGATATAATGATAAGAAATATAATAAAAATAATGCCTTCAATCTTTGCCAGAAGAAAACATCTTGTATTCATTTAGCTAAAAGAAAAAGACAACTCACCCAGGCCATTCTCACAGTCTGTAAACTCAATGGAATGAACAGCTCGGTCAACTCCATATGGACCCATTAGCGTCCTGAGATAAAGCAATCAAGAAGATGGAGAAGGGATGGAGGGAGAGACAGAATAGAGAAAAAATGTGTTACTTTAAATATTTTACTTTGAAAGCTTTTGAACCGTTTTACTTGTCACCAGTGTTTTGAAAGATACACAGAATTATAGAAAGAAACATGTAAATCAGGGAAGACTATAGAGCCTCTGTCTTTCACAGGGAGTTTCTCAATAAGGCCTTTCACTTTTTAAGGCACAGCTCTTCTTACTGAAATCGTCAGAGGCTGGATGTAATTGGTAAATTGACTTGAGCTTGTATAGCACTTTTCTAGTCTTTGAGTCTGACTACTCAACGCGCTTTTCACACAGCAGGTCACACTACCCATTCACACCACATTAACACAGTGATAGCAATGTTACGCTGCTATGTAAAGTGTCCATCAGTATTAATTAATCCATTCCTTCACATTTAAATGACGCTGACACAACTGCAGAACTAACTTGGAGTACAGTGTCTTGCCTTCTGGTTGAGAGAAGCCTCACTACTGAACCATAGCTGCCCATATGTCATTCTTTCATGTTTGTTCAAGACAGTTGTAAACTAAAGACAGATTAGATACCAACATTCTAACTAGATGTTAAATCGTCAGAGTGTTAAGACTGGGGCTCAATAGCCATCATGCTACTTTAAAACATGCCCATGTTCCCAACATGCAATGTGCAAAGTGTAATGGAAGAGCTGCTCATGCATCAAATACATTTAAAGTAAAGTTGTTGGAGAGACTCTCCAAATATATATATATATATATATATTGTGAGGGGACCACTAAGCGTCTTACTGAAAGACAACCAACTCTACCCCTAGCAAGAAAGAGCCTTGGTCATGGATTTATAGTTTATTTCTTATGTACTAACTACAAAAAAATAGGGTACTATAAGTGCATAGTGCATAGCAGTGCATAGCAATGATAAATGCAACATTTAGAATAGCTTTTTAATTGTCCACCTTACATAAGTGAGGAAGACACTAATTATCAACATCAACTTGTACAGATCTTGCCAGAGGTATGCAAACCCTGGGCTACTATTTGCACTTAAGATGATTAGTCAGCACCAGGGTGGAATTGGAGAGCATGCATCCAACTTCATTTTTTTCATGTCTCATGAATGGCATATGATCACGCTAATAGCCAGTTGTAATTAAAATTCAAAAGATCAAATTCAATGTTTTCTGCTGTATATTGGTTATCTACACTTTAGCATGCATTCTGACAGAAGCCTAAGTCTTTCTGGCTGTTTGGTTGAAACCAGCTGCCATCACTTGCTGAGAGTTGCAAATAGACACCTTTGGATGCTAGACCAAATTAATATAGCTTAAGAATGTTACTAATTAAAGCTAATTTGTATCATTAAGCCACATAAAAACAGCACAGAGAAAAAATGTTTTATCTTATTGTTGTTGTACCTGTCATATAGTTTAAGGTAATACTCAAGACTTCTGAGGATGGGTGTCTAGCATTGACCCATTCCACTCATCTTCCACACCCTTTGCCAAGATCTCTCTCTCTTTCTCCTTTGCTCTCCGGTGCTGCTCCTCAGCCTCTGTGAAGTTAATAAACTCATCTGCTGCAGCTTACCAATCAAGGGCTGCAGCCTAAAGAGCAGGAGAGAGAGAGACGTTGCCAGTGGGTCATTTAGTGATTGTGTGTGAAAGTGAGTTCGGAGATTACGTCTTCAATGGAAGAAGGTTCTTGTTGAATTCATGTTCCAAGTGTTACTTTCTTAAGAGTGATTTTTTGTTTTTTGACAACTTTGACAAGTTCCAGAAGGCAGATGGCTATGTTTTTTGTTTGACAGGATCTGGAAAAAACATGTTTTAATAAAGATGAATATATTGTATCGCTGTACTGAGCAGGACTTTGCAAGCTGTCGGTGAATATACATTAAAAAAAAAAGTCATTAAGTACATGTAGGTTGTTTATTTGGCCAACTACTCCAATATTATTCAAGATTAGGTGCTGTCTGACAGAAACACACGTTCACTTACTCACTATCCCATATGACCTAAAAGATTTTACTCTTATGCGTACATATGGTGAGAATAAAACGCATCTTGGTCAGTGCTCACATGGTCTACAGTCAAGTTCATAAGTTGGGCAGAAATAATTGTGATTACATTTTGACAAGAACTGCCCATTCTGTCTCCATTTTTTTTCATTCCCAATCCCAGTAACATTACTAAAGTAGAATATTGATTTGCTCAGACTGACAATACATGAATATACATTTTTTTCTTACCACTGTAACTTTTGCTGCTTTGCTAAAGTGCTCATGATGGATAGGCCGGGTCTTTGCAATATAACAAAGAGTAAGGTCTTTTACCTGCTTTTTGTAAAGGGTCTCCAGATAACACTTGTTATGAGTTGACGCTATACAAATAAAAATTAATTGATTGATTGATTGATTGGTTGATTGATTGATTAAATGTTATAAGTAGGGCTGTCAGCATTAAGTAGTTAATCACCATTAATTAAGGTCTGAAATGAATGCATTCATTTATTTTAATCGCATGTTATTTTGTCCCTTAAGGCACACCATGGATAAGCCTCCACAATGTCTCCCTGTAGTCACAGTGATAAAAACGAACGACACTTTTGCATCTTTGTATGTCTCATTTCACTGTCAAATTCCCAGACAACTCAATTGTTGAGTCAAAAGTAATATCCACTTCATGACATCAAACATTAAACTTTTCTACCGTTCCTTTTTCCTTGTCGTTTAGTTTTTTTTTATCAGTAACAAGTTCCTTTTTCTGGAAAAGTGAAACAATTGACAAAAACAGTTTTGTGTCTTCCTTAAATCATTTCCTAATTGAATCAACCACCTGACAGGCATGATGTGACCAATCAATTGATCCAAGAAGTGTGAGTGACCAACAAGTGCCTATAGTCTGAAGCATTGCTAAATGCTTACATGCAGGTGTACCTTTTTTTATGACTTCTACATTTGATCAGAAGAGATCCCTCCACTGTTTTTGAAATGTGTCATAATGTTACTGCAGAGCCTCATTTGACTCAAAATTTTGTAAAATGTGAAATTATTTTAAAAATAATGTAATGGCCTAAAAATATTGTAATTTGTTCATAAAATTCAATGGTAAAAGTTAATCATCAATTTACCATGTTAGCTTAAATCATGAGTCTGCCAGATTGTTGTTGTGTTTGCCTTGGTGGCTGTGGTTCAAAAGCATAACAAGAGTTACTATTGATGATGTAATTATATCGTTAGGAATACAAAAGAGATATAAAGACAATCAATGTATCCTTTCGTTCAGTTTTATCAGCAGCAGCCATACATTATTTGGTTCCAATTCATACAGATTACGCTATGACCAAACTGCATTTTCTCCTTTTACATGGAATATTTGTTTTTTGATTGTTACTTGTTAATTGTTAATACTAAGTCATTAATTAGGCTAGGTACATCTTTTATTTTGAAGACCAAAATTTCAGTAGGCCTATTTTCCCTAATGTATAAATAATTAAAATAATGTAGTCACAATAAGTGATCTGATATACGTTAAGACTAGATAGGTTCAAGATCAAAATGAAGAATGGAACCTAAAAGTGAAAGGAATAGCAGTAGGAGGGAGTTAATGAAAGAAAAACAATGTTTCACTCCTTTGGCTGCATAAAATAAACAGAAGAGCTCTATGCATAGCAGACCACGAAGAAGCTTACAGTTGACCTGATTTCTGATTTGATTTCATATGGAGCATTTCCGGGTTTTTTGTGTGTGTAAAGAAACAAATTCTTCAAGTATGCTACATTTAAGGATCAGCATGATCTCAATAAACATTTTAAATCACACGATCGCCATGATCGCTTCGGCAAACAAATACCGTCGCCTCAGTGCGCGTGACGCATGACAGATGGTGACAGGTCTGTTCTGTCAAGCCAAAACAACACGAGAAAAATAAAGCGCTCCCCAGCTCTTTTTATGTCGTCCTTTCTACAGCCTGTGTTGTTATCGAGTATGTTCTAGTATCTCTGAAACTCCACATTTAATAACCTATTTCGAAACATTGCTCATCATTTAGGCTACAAAAAATATTAAATAAGGCACGTTTTCTGTTTTAAAGAATGAAAGAATTAACCACTTAGCGCTGGAGCACCGCACACGCCTCACATCAACTAAGCGATGTTTTTATCCCTTCTCCAGTATGGAGAAGGGATAAAACCTGGAAACAGCACTTGTTCTGGAAACAGCCGAAACCATCACTTAGGAGTACCGCCACGAAATGATACACTGCACACTTCTTGAAGTGAGCATAGAATAGCGTCAACCAGTGCTTCAACAACCATCAACCCCACCAGACATCCCCCGTAGTTTTCCTCTTGTTTACCTGCTAATGATGACAGCTCCTTTATACATCACCGAAAAGGTTGGCATTTTGACATGAAGTCCGCTTCTCCAGTTCGACGGGCGGTAGGTCGGTCGGTCGAAAAACCCCAGCCCTCAGCATGCAACCTCAAGGTGGTCTGTCAATACAGCCAGCCTCTAATTCCAGTTAACTGTCAGTGCCAAACATTCCACCTTAACCCACAGAATTAATCTCTTACATAACTAAAGTCGCCGAAAAAAAAATGCCACAGACAGCCCTAACGGGGGAATTATTTTGGCAAAGCTCTTCTAGATTATCACACTTGTTTAGAGATATGTCCGCTTCCTCCGCCTGTTGGGTAAGAGAGAAAGTACTTGTAGCTTGAAAGATGCTAAAGTTGCATGAGCAGGAAGCGATATCCTCACCAAAGCCCATCCATTTTAGAAGAATATTCTTATTCATGATTGAACTTTTGACTATTTGAGGGTTTTGAAAATTGTTTGAATTATTTTACAAGCTTAAAAACAAATTCTTCCTAGTAATTGTTTCTATGCATTTTTATGTTCATTAAGCTTTAATTTTCTATATTTCCAATATTAAAAATGTTTTCACAGTAAAAAAAAAAAACAGTTATAAATAAATGATGTGTATATGCGCAACTACAACCAAATACAATTCAAACAGCCCCTTACATGCTTTCCATTTAGAAACAGTGATTTAATCCTCTGTGTGTTGACATCCCTTGGCATTGTCATTTTTAATTCAAGCCCTCTGGGCATCCTGTTTTATCATCACTCCTTATTTTTGGAAACTAAATTAACAAGTTATTTTGTTAAAAAGGATAGGCCACAAGATTAATGGTGATAATTACTTTTAATACACTAAATTTGGCTCAGTTTACTAGTTTTATGATTGGTTTGGATTGGAGATCTAGCCAAATAAAAAAAAAAACTCTTCCACCTGGAGAAAGACACAAAGAGACACAAAGATACAAAATGTATTACCATGGACAGGCTCATTGCAGTTGACAGGTTTGTTGCAATAATTTGTGAGTGTACAGTATGTGTGTGTGGGGGAGGGGGGGTTTATGAGAGAAGAACTGTAAAGGGCTTTGGCTGTCAAGATCAAATAGCCTTCAATTATTACATCTAACAGCTGCTAACAGAGCACTTTGTAGTGAGGAAACAACAACCACAGGGCCAAAAAATACAGACAAAACATTAAGGATCCACTAAAATTAAAAACTGACAAGCAAATTAAGCATCCTCTAAAATCTGATTGAAAATGTCTTTTATAACTGGAAAAGCTTGTTTCAAAATGTCGGGTGTGAACAGAAATATTCAAGTGTAACCACAGCCCTTATGTGCTACACGAGTATCCAAAAAAACTGCTTGATCAAATGCTTTAAACACAATCAAGCCTGCCAAATTTTTTAATTATTTGTGTGAAAGACGAATACACAGCGTTGTAGTTTTCAGAGTTACTGAATTTGACACGCGATATAAGCAGTAGGCAACTTTTATGTAAACACAGTTTTAGCCAATTTGAGCTTACATTCAACATCTGTAAATGCATTCATACGTCCATGCACTCCACAAACCTGTTACCAACAAATTTACTGCTAAGGTGAATGAATGTGAAAATATTCTCAGAACACCTCTTCAGCTCTGCATATGTCCATAACACCTTGTAATTAGGCTCAATACATATCTGCAAGTAGGCTAGTCTACATTTAACTTAAACTACTGTTCAACAGTTAAAAACATACCTTGCAAAACTTAGTGGCACTTTTAACCTTCGGAACATTTTTCTGTTATCATGGGATATCCATGTGATTCTTGTTGTATCATCTGCTCTGCATATTGTACTGCACCACAAAGAGAGATACTGAGAGTGACCAATCATAAAGAGAAGATAATCTTATGGCAAAGGGATAATCCATACGATGTCTAAATATAGATCTTTATAAGACGGCTACTAGTTCGACAGAGCTGATCATTTTCAATGAGTCACTTGAGTCAATCAAAATGGAATGTGTTTTTCATTTAGCACACCACTGAATAAGACTAACTATTGACCCAGTTTGGTCATTATTGGGTTAACTTGGCAGAGTATTAATGGGGTGTCACTGGGTCAAAGTGTTCCAGCTACTACAATTTAGGCACTTTCCTCCAATGAGCACAGTTTTCTATAATGGACATGGATACACAAAACTCTAACTGTATCTGCCCTGAATCAGTGCCCATATAAACTGAAAGAAAATGGAAAGTTCACTATGTTGTGTAACTTTGGTAATGCCATATTTTTTTTGTGCTGTCTGTGTTTAGCTGATCTGTTATTTGTGGGAACAGTAGTTGTTGTTCAGGGCAAATGAGAATTTGGGTTTGGTTATTAAGAATAAAGATTGTTAATATGAGTAAATATATGGATCTGTTCTTATGTAATCAACAGTGGATTTTGCTGTGGAACTCGGGTCATGCCTCTCATCTCCAGCCCTCTCAAATTAGGTTACACCTAACACAAATACATTTTACAATTGTTGTGTTAACACTGAGAAATGAGAATGAGCAAAGTCATTAGTCATCAAAGTAATTTTTTTTAACTTAAATCTTTAATTTAAATGTTTGTTTTTTTAATTATTGAGACAATTATGAGTTTACCTTGCAAGATAGCTGAGGGAGAGATAAAAGAGCAGAAGTGTAATTGAGAAAGACCTTATGGTGAAAAAAATACAATGTCTATTTGGATTTTTTTAGGATTCACAATGTTACCAAAAAGGTGTGTGTAACATTGTTAAATAGCAGAAAGCCATGACTGTACAATGCACATTTTTGTACTAACAAATTATATTATCAAACGTTAGTTCTAACCAAGCAATCTGGACGGACAAGAGGCATTCGATGAGTGCTGATATAGAGCACAACTTCACTGTGTTTGCAGTTGACAGTGTTTGTCCTGATTAATTGACCAACCTCAGAATCATACAACAGAGAATTTTACTGGTTAAATGACAAATAAAACAGAGGCAATACATGTTTGTAAAACAAAGTAACTGGTCCGTGATAACCATAGAAACAATAAAGTAACAAGAATGAAAAAGAAAGTTTGGGTGGCTTGCCACAGTCCAGTTTCAGTGAAGATTTGGAACAAGTGAGTGAAGCACATAATCATTTGTTGTTGATTATTACTTTGCTATGACTACAGTATTTGCTGCTAGTAGAACTTTTGTATAGAAACAATACAGCACTCAAACTTGTGATGCTGTACTGAATATCAGCTGTACTGCATAGCCGTTTTTATTCAGTCCTATAGGCAATAGGCACTGTCTGGAAGATTATTGATACACTATCCCTCCCTGTCATGTGATATTGCCCAAATATAATTTTTGTAAAATTGAAAAAAGAGGTGGCTCATCTTACATGGTTTTTCATGCACATTGCTTATGCATTTTTCCCAACGTAAGGAGAGGAATGGCTGGCATAAGTGTATTACAGACTAAAGCCTGTCACTGTGACTCTGCTATAAATATATAGCTCTAGCAGGTGGGTTACCCATTTCTCTTTTATTTGGATAACTATTGTTTATTTTGATCAGCCACATCATTACGTAAGATCAAATCCTGCAATTTTAAAAACACTAATACCTAGAAAAGATTACTAGTCCTTTAAAAGCATCTTTGTGATGCTGAAGGGACTGAAGGGTACCAAAACAAATGGAGGCTGCTGCCTGTTTACACAACTTATATTCACACAACATTACTGTAAGGTCAAGCAATTTAATTTTGGCCATATCATGCCAGGGTCTTTAACTGATATATTTTTTTTAGATAGATGTAGCAGATGCTACTGTTAGTGAATCAGTGAAACAGTATGTATGCAATTTCAATCCAGTACAGGACAGTAAAACTATTTTAAATAGTGCACCAATATAAATAGGCAAAGACCATGATTTCATCAAATTCCATAAAAATGTCTACTGACATTTTTACTGCTTATTGTTACAAATTCTGCATGAGACAGTTCTTTGAAATGCATCAAGTCGTGTTTTAAAGTTACCAAAAAATGAAGTTGACAATGATGGACTGACAGTTAAAGTAACCTTCAAATCTTTGTGATGAGATTTTTATCATGTGTTGGAACAAATTATAATTAACAGTTATCTGAGTATAAGGAGATCACAATAAAGCACTTCTCTGTGAAATAACAGTGTGCATGATTCCCTGCCTACACTCCCACACAAGGACACACATAAAAACACACACAATCTCGTCACAGAGATTTATTCTCTCCTTCCTCTCCATTGCAGCCATGGCAACAACCATTTGCCTCAGAACTTTAATCACTAAATCTGCACAGTGGGTCATTATCAGATTATGGGATTAACCAATCCACACTGAAAATTTAAACAGGCCCAAACCCAATCACAGAGATACAAGCTCACACACAAAATCCCATGTGATCATGATGGTCTGTGTGTGTGTGTGTGTGCATGTGTGTGTGTGTGCGTGTGTGTGCGTGTGTGTGTGCGCACGCGCGTATGTTTGTATGTGTGACCGTGTGTGTGCAAGACAAGAAAAGAAAAAACTCAAGCGTCGCTGTCACTAGTTTCTAGTTAAAAGGTACAAGGTTGCCCTCTACAGACAGATGCAGAAGCTGCAGATTCAATGAACAGTTTATCTAGATCCACTATCTTGGTTCCAGGGGCATCATGAGGATTTATCCCCATGAAATTCTCTGCTAAGGAAGCAAAGTTATGTTAAAATGAAGTTTTTCTCCTTAAAACCCTCAGGTTGTTTATTTAGTTTTTTTTTTTAATTCAGGTGCTCTAAGAGCAAAACAATTCTTCACAGTCATCAAACTGTTGTAATGCTGGCACAGTACCCGAGTCTCTTCCAAGGATGAGAAAGCATTGTATACCCTCAGGAAGTGTTCGAATTGTGTTCTTTGTATTTTTTTAAGAACTCACTGTGGCTGTCTTTTTGATCTCAGCCACAAACTAAAGCTTTACATGAAGTTGCATTTCAACGCTCCCTGATGAGGGGTGTAATGCCGCCAATATATTTGAGGCGTTATTGCATCACATGGTGAGTCTCTATATTGTAAACTACTAACAACTGCTCACATTCTTCTGTAGCCGCAAGACATGTATTGGTTGCATATTCAACTATAATGACCATGTCGATATCAAAAAATCTATTCATGTACTTTTCTGTGAACTTGAGATCTCTTCAGCCACCTGTAAAAAAAGAAACAATATTCAAAGAAAAAACATCAAAGGCTTTCTTTCCTCTGCAATACCAATTAAAAATCTTCACACTTCACAAAACATATCCCTACTGCTGGTTGGCTGTTCAGCTTCGAGAATCTCCTGAGTTTTAATGT